TCAAACGATATTTCCGATATCCGAAAAGAATATAGTATCGAATTATTAGAATAATAATATTATCGCAATTACTAATTAAATCAATTTTCGTTAAGTCCTATTTTCGAAATACCTTTCAGAGCGATTGCGCCGGTATATCGTGCATCATAAAATAAAACAGCCTCAAATAAATTAATCTAATAACGGAATTGCCCGGCTCGACTTAGGTCCTACCCTCGTTACTAATATCAACCGAACGGAGCAGGCACCATGGCGCCGTACTAATTTTCGCGATTCTTTCTATATTCATTATCGTTTACTATGTAATTAATCAAATACTCAAAACAGAATAATAGGAATATGAATAGTACTAAATGCCGATATCTTCCTTGTTTGTCGCCAGAGATAAAAACCTGCTGGTAGCACGTTTGTCGCCAGAGCTTAAAACCGTCTGGTGGCGCCACCCTCAATAGAGCTCAGCGAACGTTCCAATTGTAGGTCGCGTCGTTCCTCCACTTGTACCTGTAAGAGCACCAATCCCACCAGCAGTCATATGCCTCGTGGTACATTTCGTCGATGACGACCTTGAGCTCCTTATGAGCCCCGCGTTGGTCATCGAACCAGTCGATGCACTCCTGCTCCTTCTGGCTCACATAGCAGGACGGACACTTGGGGAAGATACGGCATATCTCGTCGTGGCTCTTCGAAGAGGCCATGTAGACCCAATGCCATGCCCAGTCACCCCAGGAAAGGTGCTTGACGTTGCAGTACTCCGTCACGGCTTTGGTGAGATCGTGGACGACAAAGTTGAAGTTGAACTTGAAACGGGCCTCCCCTGTGACCCAATATTCGCCGAAGTTCGTGACGTCTCCAACCGTCAGCCTGCCAATGAAGGGAAAATACTTCACACCTGCCAAGTCCATACAGTCGGCGTTGATCAGCTGCAGCAGGTGAGAGATGCCGGGGATGCCCAGGCACAAGAGAAGCTTCAAGTTCACGCTGAACGTGGCAATTGCTCCATCCAGGCCCTGGCCACAGTCCTTGATTGACGCACCAAGGCTGAACTTCAACTTGAGCGGGTCGGCCGGCTTCACACCAATGCAGGTGATCATGTCGGCGCTGAGGCATGGAACTTCACGACGCTTCTTTTTGTAGTTTTGCAGGCCGAAAAGGTTCCTCCACCAGGCGAAGATACCGACGGCACTCTTGGTCTCCTCATACAAGCCATCCTTCGTGTTAAGGTCTGCGGGACGAGGAAAGATGAGGCAATTTGCCCCAAGGCAGATCTTCCCTTGGAGCGGGGCCTTGCTACAGGGACCTAGGCTGAAGCCAGTGTAGTTGTGGTAGCCGCGGGCAGAGCTGTCAATGAGGGCACCCTCAGAGCCCTCGAACTCCTCCATGGCGGCCACTTCCTCAGCCTCCTCTGCAACCTCCTCCTTGGCCTTGATTTGGGCAAGCCCGCTGGATCCCTTGGCCAGAGCAGCCGCCACGGTTTCTTTCATCTCCCGGTGGTGAGCCTCGGCGGCATGGCGATGCCGCATCCTGCAAACTAAGACGGGCTCCACCCCATCGCAAACGCACTGCTTGTAGTCCGCGATACGGCGACCCCGCGCCGTGGTGTCCGGAACATCGCAGCGGGCCGTGGATCGCACCTTCTTCCAGTGCGGGTCCTGGTCCAAACGCTCGAGCCGAGCACGCTGCCCCGATGTGAGGTTGCCCGTGGTGGCTTCCACGAACCTCTCATAGAAGTTGCCGACGGCGGGATGCTCGAGGTCGCCGCTGGTAGCCGCCTTGATCTGTTGCAGGAAGTGGTGGCCGAGTTGGTTTTCGCGCGTGTGCAGGGCCAGCACGTGCTGGGCGTGGCGGTTAAGTGTAATCGACAGCCGATCTGCCACATCCTGGTGTGCAGTCTGCAGCAAGGAGCTGCCGCAAGCGGCAGATCCATACTTCACCTTCAGCCTGTTGACAAAGTAGTCGATGTCGATATTCTCTGGCCTGCACTTCTTGTCCATCTTGAACTCCTCATGCTCGATCTGGTCCATCTCATGCTCGGTCTTGCGCTGGTGCAACTGTGCCTGCTTGAGCAGGGCCTCCACATCTGTGGCGATGGTTTCGGCCTCAATCTCCCCGCACGTCGCAGCCACCTGCTCCAGCGCCTCTGTGTAAGCCTGGATGACTTCGTCCGTGATTTCGGTCGCAGCCATTACCGTTGCAGTGTCCTTCTCCAGTGCTTCCTGGGCCCATTGCGCGGCGACCTCTTTGGCGGCGAGAATCTGGGAGTTCATGGTCTCCGTTTGCAAGTCGTCAAGGGTCGCCACCTGAGCGGCGTCGTGGTCAGCCTCACCGAGCATGAGCGTTGTCAGTGTCTCGACAGCCTTCGTGTCGCCGGCCTGTTCTGCCTTGTCGATCATGTCCAAGAAACACTTCGTGTGCTGCCTCGCGGTCTCAAGCTTCGGGTCTTTGAAGTCCAAGTCGGAAAGCGGAACCTTGGTGGTGCACTGCTCAGCGCAGCGCGAGCCGAACGTCTCCTGGTTGTGCGACGCTCCCAAGGGGTGATCTATCCCCTGGCAAGCATCCGACCAGGTCGTCTCACACGTGACCTCCGCCAGGATTGTTTCGCACGGCGTTGGCTCTAATTGAGGGCTGCAGATGCTGGGCTTCTGCGTCTCAGATGCTTCATTGGGAATCACCTTGTACCCTGTGACGTGGACAAGGCGCAAGACGATCACAAGCGACAAGAATGCGGCCATTGCTGCAAAGTGAGAGAGTGGCTTGAGCCGAGGTGCAGAGTCAGGGGTCGAGTGACTTGCAGCGAAGCTTTCGACGAATTTAACTGCGACCTTTCAAACATTTCCGCACTTTTCCATGCCATACAATCACCAGTGAGAAATGTCATGATGTACTAATTACACCAGCCTCAACGGGATACAGCACAGAATGCAGGATGGCACATAAAGGTGAGACACACCCGTCCGCTCTCAGGGGAACCTCACGGAGCCTCTGTCCACGCAGTTCCCGGACTGGATATGACGAAACGAAACACATCCTGCCAGTCCGGAGGGGCACGTCGCGGTGTGTTGCTCCCCAGGTCAGCACGGCAAACTGCTGACTAAAACATGCGGGCAGACCAGGAGACATCAGGAAAGGAGGCAACTCTTGCCAGACTGATCACAAGCCCATCGCCTGCTACTTCTCGTAATCCTCTTCCTCGTCCTCTCCGGCTTCAAAATGGTTGCAGGTGAGGTTGAGATTGTCGATGCCTGCAACGGCCGCGACTTGCTGTTGCTGGCTCTAACTAATCCATTTCTCGACAAGCAGCCAACTTGCTTTGTGCTGTCTAGCTGTCGCTCTTCTCCGCTGTCTCGCCCGAGGTTCTCGGGACTCGAAACTTCGAGGTCTGCCATGTAAGCCAGCTGCCCAGGAATCACTACGGCGCCTTCGTGGAACTTGGGTGGCTTCACATCCTGGAGACCGACCCCACACGCAGCTGCAAGCAGGGAATCCGAGCATCACGGAGCATTCATACAGAATCTCATCTATCACAGTGCTAAAACCCCTGCCAGGAAACTTTCCAGGTCGGAGCTTCAAGCGCTCATGGCTTTCTGGAGGAGGGACGGATTGCAACTTGCTTTGTTATCTGGCGTTCTTTCACTATTGACAATAGCTGCAACCCGAACTCCAAGCCCTCCAACTCGAACCGCCACGTCCTGCCAAATGGATTTTTCCACCTCGGACAAGAAGTTATGGACTGCCAATACCTGCGCACCGCAGGAGCACACTTAAATCCTACACAGTTTCGTCCTCAAGGAAGGTTCCGTCTTGTCTAAATTTCTGCAGTCTCTGGGCACTTACCTGCAGGATGCCTCCAGGTACTGACCAAATCTGAGCATCCCGCCCTGGACAAATAGACACGTCCTCCGAGTTCTTCAGGACAAGTGGGGCGCGCCGGATAGCTTTTTGGTCGGATTCTGATTTAGCAGTTCCCAGGACCCCTGCACCTCTTCGCGACCAGCCCAGTCGGTCCACCGATCCTGGCAGCAGCGAACCAGTTCACTTTGGTTTATCCGGATACAGAATACATCACAAGATGGCTCATGCACTCCGAATGTTATAACAAGGGAACCTTATAATCCATGCGCCAGTATGATACTATGCTGGCTTGTCAAGTCGCTGCGCTCCTCGACTAAGTGCAAGCGCGAGGAATGGCTCGGATTCTCCGCGCTTTTGTTGGGCATCCTGGGATCTTTTTTGGGATCGGCTTCCACGACGTTCAGACTGAGGGGCCTTGGCTTTTCTAGGCATGGCCCGTGCTTTTTTGGATCTGGGACTAAACGTGGCCTGAAACCAACAACCGCACATCAAAGCCCGCATGGTGCAAGATCGGAAGTGGAGTGGAGGAAGAGACCAGAGAGAGAGGGAGCTCCGCTTGTGATGATAGCTGTGTCCAGCCACAGAGCCGAGCTGCAAATAGAAGAGCACCGGATGGAGGAAGGACGACTTGTGCGCCACCAGCCGGGTTCGCAAAAAGTCTGCGATCAAATGATTTTGCGGAAGTCGCCCTTGCCATCTTGAAACATCGTAGTATCGGGCCATATTACATGAAGAACCCTGCAATTTGCAACTACCCCGCCTCTCACTCCGCGGTTTTGTCTTTGGAGGCTTCACTCTATTTGTGTGAAATGTGGCTTTGGCTGTGATGGCAGACTAGGATCGACTGGGAGGGAGGCTGGCAGCTATTGGGCTTTCATGTCCACTCGACCACAAATTACACACGAGCCAGCTTCAAGGAGCGGAGCACTCGGTGCTTTGAAGATCTTGGGTTTAGCAAGGCTCTGGGGCTGCAAGCTCTTCGGGCGGATGGCAGGTAGAGAAGCGAAAGCTTAATGCGTGTCTCAAGCCTATTTCCGAAGCCGAAGCCTCACTGCTGGTCACAGCCGTGCCTGACCGTTGGAGGTAGCTGCTTTTGCCGTAGCGGAACTGGAAGTACAGACGAGGGTGTTGCCGGAACTCCGCCTGTGCAGCCACACAGCAGCCTGACCCTCTCAAGCCTCGGCGCGACTCGAGGAGTTCCGTTCATGTGCCACCCGCTTCACGGCATCTAATCTAGCGATCTCTTCGCAGGCGCATGTCGGAGGCATAGCTTGATGCCTTCATTCTACGGCACTCCCAAGATCCGTGACCATGGCAGCAGCTGCCTCGAACAGGTCTATGGGGATGTCCTGGTAGTACCTCATGCTGTTCACAGAGGCAATCTCGACATTGCTGTCTTGTATGAACACCATACAGTGAACAAAAGGCGTGCGTGTGAAGAACACCCAATACTTCAGGCAAGTTCTCCATCTTTCGACAAGATTGTTTCGTGCCATCGCTCATCTACAGCCTTCTTACCCCTGAGCCTTCCTGCGAAATCCTCGGTGCACTTCTCCGGTCAACTGCAAACACGTGTCTGATGAAGACTTGACAAGCCCTTCAGGAAAAGAGAGTGTTGGGGGGCTCTCCGGCTTTCCTTGCCAACTCTCTGCCCAGCAGCCGCACAATCATAAGGGGTCTTATGGGTCTTCCACCCTGGCACCCTCCGGAAACAGACTTCCAATCTGGAGGCGAACAAGATACGTGACCCGAAGCTGCTGCCGATCATACACCAGCCCATCCACCTGCGCACGATGCGTCTCCCTCCCTCTCTCTCTTTGTCTCTTTCTGTCTCTCTCTCTCTCTCTCTCTCTCGCTCCCTCCGGTTCTCTAACTTCTAGACCGCAAAATTCAGTGACCGACTCTTTTAATTTCCATTTTGATGCGTTTTGTGTGCTTTTGCCTTGCAGGCCATTATCTGGAAGCCTGTGCCCGCTGGTGTACCGACAATACGAACGGCATTGCCGGATCTACGCTGGACCCACGTTCTCTTGAACCCTAGTAGTGATGTAGAAGCCTACATCGTGCACACGATGCGTCGCGTGGTCTCTGTAAGGCTTGCTTGATGCCTGCAACCTGGTTCCGGTCCCTCAGACGTGGCTCCGTCTCGGCAGGACATAGAAGTATGAACCACAGGGTGCTGGCAAAGCCACCAGGGCCCCGCAGGACATCTGGTAGGGCCCGGATGCTTCGTTGAGCCGCGTGAGGAGCCGATTCCAGTGCGGAGTTGTCTCCAGGCTCCTCCCAAGAAGCAAAAAGCACAGCCAGTGTCAATCATGTCGACCTTTACATGCCGGCTTTCACAAGAGTTCGCCGCTGAACATGCTGAAAGATTCCTCCCATCTCAAGCCGGATGCCATGAAACAGGCTTCGAGCTTCAGCCCTTCATGTTCTACTCTGCAGAAGAGAGCTTCACTGCGGTCTTATGAAACTCGTGGCCCTGGCGCACACACACACACACACACACACAATCCTGCGGAGCCGCTGGATGCTCTTGGTCCCTGTAGCCGGCTCTTGACCGACCTCCCAGCTTCGAGGCAAAAGGACTCTTGGTTGTGTTTCAAGGTCTTTAGCCTTCAGCTGCTCAGAGCCGGGTATAAGCCCGGTAAGCTATGCAGGCGAACCTGAGCACGGCTACTCTGAGTTTGGGCATTGGGACGCCAGGCCGTGACTCTGGAATCCAATCCCCGGCACAATCTGCAGAAACCCGCTTTGCAACTCGTCATCCAAAGGTACTGGGCAGCCGTGGGAAGCGACTGACGATGACTCGCACCCCTCCAAAACCTCTTGCCCTCTCCCTTGCCTGTAAGGTGTGCCTGGCTTCATGCTCATCTTAAACCATGCATTTCCGAAGTCCCGTGCCTCACAAGCGGCTTCGGCACCCGGACCAGGCCACTCGTAGCGGTGTTGGCTATCTTGCCAGAAGGGCCTTCAGGGTTTTGCGTCCTTCGTTAGGCTTGAGGCTTCCTGGACTAAGTCGACCTGTAGGCTGCGGAATTGGCAGGTTATACCAGACTTCCATGGCAATTAGGGCCTCGGGCCCGTGTTGACTCGCTAGAATGGGATGTCCAACGCCGCGATGCCCTCCAGACCTTGCAGTCGTCAAGTTCCTGCCCAATCTGTCATCCCGCCTTCCTTCGAACTGGTGCGTCAGGCAGCGAAACAGCGTCTTCGCCTGTTCAGGGCAGAGCATGGGGGGTTGCAAGTTGAAGTGCTTAGGGCTTCTGCCCCGCGCTAGCAGGTCAAGGCTGGCAACCGAGGCCGGAAAGTGTCGTGTGCATGAGCTTAGCACAAATGCTGGCGCGATCTGAGCCTATGTATGTTTACATGATGATGTAACTTACGACGAATAGAATAGAACCTACAAATCTCCGACCGAGCAGGCAGATCTAACCCGCCGTCGTAATTTGTCGCAGTCTGGAGACTGCACGCGCCCTCAACTTTCAAGGAGAAGCCCCAGGCACGTTTAAGATGCTGCTTCGAGGCTGTGTAGCGGAAGCCGTGGATGAAGCCGCCCGCGCTGCCGAACCGCTTCTTGTCGAAGCCATGTGTAACAGTGCCTGACGGGGGAGAGGATGCCTTTGTTGTCCACTCTCCTTCCAGGCTTCGCACAACCAGAGTGGAAACTGATTCAGCCGGCACGTTGCTTAGCACCCTTGTACTCAAACTCCTATCACATCACAAGTAAAGCTGAAGCGACACAGGATAGCATTGCAAAAGGCGGGCCATGCCTGCAAAGTACAGGCCTGGCTCTGTCGACTCAAAGCAGGCATCCACTTCCGGGTACTTCCTCCGAAAGCTTCTGGGTCAATGGTCCAGCGTGTCTAGTCTAGCCCTGCTCTCAAAGTCTTTCGTGGTGGGGGCTCGAAGTGCACAAGACGGCAAGGACCTCGTGGGGTCGAGTATCATCTCTTCACCAGTTGTCCTTATCGTTTGGTGCATCCGTCGCGGACAACATCATCAGCATCCCCGTTCAACCGAACTGACCTGCGAACTGAGGACCTTCAGCCCCTCCCATTCGAAGCTTTCTGCCGTGGCTCCTGTCGGCATCCAGTTGCACACTAAGCTCCTGCAAGGAAGCAGTCACACATACAGGCGCAGTTGGCCGGAATCACCCGCCATCAAAGCCGCAGATGTTTACCCTAGGAGCAGCTTCAGTCGTCTTCCAGTCTACTTTTGATTGACACCACTCGCCGCCTGAAGCTGCGGAGGCAAATCCAAGGACATCCAACGAGCCACTTTCGGTCACCAGTCGCCTGGAAGGGCTCCGGCTCCATCCTCCAGCCCTGCGTCTCAAGAATGCAGGGGGGCGTTTAAGTCAGGGCTAAACTCTGAGATCCCTACATAACAGCACCTAAATGGCCTTAAGGAATGAATCTCTGAACGTTAAGAATCAGAAACCCCACCCATTTCGCGAATGACACAAATGAAAGCTAAGACCGGAGGGATCCACACAAAAGGTAAATGCTTGCTGTTACATCCCAACACGAAGACGTCACAAGCCACCAGCTGTCAATATTCCGCGTCTTAGGCCTTCATCTTTTTGCTAACGATGTTCTCATGAGCACAAACTAGGTCCTAGGTGATCAAACGGAGTCTCTTCGGTCGAGGTTTCCAGGCGTCTGACTGCCTCTTCCTCCATTGCTGCCGAAGATCCAAGGCCCGGATAACAACGTCAAAGGGCTTGCGAAAGCGGTCGTGCTCCTTGCGCTGAGTCGAGAGAACTGATTCGATTTTGAATTCGGACATGAGTTGACCCTTCGTCGCATCAGGTTCGTCCAAGTAGAAGAGACTCGAGGAGATGTTAAGCCTGTAGCCCTCTGATTTTTGCTCATGTGTGCAAACGATGCCACCTCCGCACCCTGCACCCTGGAGCGGTCCACATAAAGGCCCTGGGTGCTCGCCATCAGCGCCGGCAGCGCCGAGCGAAACTCGGCGGACTCCTGGGAGCTCAGATAGGGAAACTGGTAGCTTATAAGGCTTCACTCTCACACGTTACACACATAACAGCTCGTTTCGGACTCAACGCAGGCTTTTTGGTTCCCGGTGGGAAACAGTCAACCCTCGTTGGGTGCTCCAAGGTCGCTGACAAGTAACTGCTGGCAAACAGTCTCCGATGGATTCAGCCAGCAGAAGGCAGGTCGTGGTTGCTACTCACTTACTCCCCAAGGCATTGCTTCTGGAGCTCTTCCTGTCTTGCTGCCTGGCTGCACGGCAATGTGATGTGGCTTCATGCTGGCGCGAGAGACACCTCACTAGGGATAAGCAAGAACACCTAGACCACAAACCCGCTTCCAAACGTCACTAACGGCACCCTCCCTCCATGGCTCCTTGGCAAGCCGCCTTGCAACAGATTTTTTGATGGTCAGCCTTGGTGCGAAACTAGGACTGGCTCAGAGATGATGTACGTGCCGTCCTATGCGGAGTTGTCTCCATTGCATGGCGCATTCTTGCAGATGCGGCTTTTGCCAAAGTGCATGAACCGGAAACTGTTTTGGTCGTGTCTCTGAATCCTGCCAGGAAATCGGCGACAGATTTTGCCAGTCTCCCGAAGCTTGTGTTCGCATGCCTGTGTGGTGCCATCGCGATTCATGCGTGCCAAACGGATGAGGTCCAAGTGGCACCTGGGTGCGCCCGGCGATGGCATCGTCAATGCCGGGGACGGCATGCTTTGCCTCTGTCTTGAGGGATTTCAGGCCAAATTCGAAAGCTGTGCTTTTATGAATAAACGCTGCTGATGTCAAACCTGAACTTACCTGCCGAACCACTACTACCAGCACTAAGTACTCGGTAGAATGCCGCGAGAGCCACCAAGTCAAAGGCCATTGACATCTAATCATAAAATCAATTTAATGCCCATTGCAACGTTCTCATGCATAGACGCTATTTTCCTCTCTCCCTACCAGACAGCTATCATTTGATCGGAAGTCTTGGCCTAAGTGTAAATCAAGACAACCCCGAGGCTGCAAGAGCTGAACGTGCCAGGGCATGGCGGCCCTGACAAAGTCTTTGACAAAACCTGATCCGGAGGATCCATGCTTGCTGTCCCAGCTGCCTGCTTGCCGAGCTGCTTCAGAGCCTATCAGACCCCGGGATGGGTTGGACAAGATCGCGCTGCTTATACTCATTCCCAAAAGCCAGGCAAGACCACAAATTCTAAAGCCTGGACCCTGATCGCGGTGGGAGACATCTGCATCTGTTGAAAAGTCACACGGATCCGTGCGACTAATGCCACCTGCTATCCGTGCAGCATAAGCAACATATATCAACCACAGCTGGATCCCCGCCAGACTGGTCGCTGCTGAGAGACGAACATATGAAGGATGCTGGAAAATGGCTGATGGCTGATGTTCGACCGATACTTCGAGGAGTAGATCTTTTTTGGTGCAAGGACCGCTAGCTGCTACCGTCCGCCAACTTCAAGCAGACACTCGAAGAGAAAGGGTCTGCACGTTAAATGCAGAATGCGCTGTCCTCAAGGCTAATGATTCGGCCCCACCCATCCGAACTGGAAGCAACCGAAGCATGAAGAGCATCGCACCTTCTTGAAATGCGACCTGTACACGGCGCTGCCGTTGCCTGACAGTTGGCATCAAACTCACATGGTTTCGAGGACCCTTGCTCACGAGAGCAGTGCCGAATGGTGCCTTCGGACTCCGAATGTGTTCCAAGGCAAGCAAAGGAGGGCCGGACTGTGGTGCCGGAAAAAACCTTGTGCCGATTTTCTAACTAGAGTTGCAGGCGGGTAGCCGTGAACAGCACTGCATCGAAGGTCAATCTGCCAGCTTGCATGCAAGGCTTTCGTATTCTCTGTGCTCCGATATCTTGGTCCCAGGACGTCTCTAATTAACTGCTCTCGTATGTCAAACGTAGGATCTTCCCCTCCTATGCCACTGAAGACATCTGCCCGATCGTAGCCTATCCGATGGTCCGATGGTTGTTGGAGGCGAAAAATTCACTGCCGCCCACACTTTCCGAGAGGATTTCCCGGAGAGAAGCGAAAATCCCATTTGCAGAAACGGTGGTCGGCTAAGTCGGAAAACGGCGAAGGGACTACTGAGTCGGATCGGGACAGCGACGCTGACAAAGCCAAGAACTGGTCCAATATGGCACCCTAAAGACCTTACCTTCACCTCAAACTGATGCCCACACCGAGGCCAGGGCCTATAATAACCACCCGCGCATGACTCTCAAATGTGCGCGACACAACATCGTTTGGGCTCAGGAGCTCGTAAAGATGGAGTCTAACAGCTTCCGAACTCACTTGCCTCGGTGCCCTTATCACTTGATCAAACCAGACAGCTACAGCACAGCAGCCAAGTTACGTACATGAATGTGCTCCGCCCATCTGGCAAGCGCCTCCTGTACTGCTGGATTCTCCTTGGAATGGTTGTTAGGACCCTTGGCATCAGATCCAAACCCTCGTCTCTTGCGTGAACCGCCTATGTAGCTCTGTTCCTTGCAGCTTGGATTCGGGATCGTGATCTGCCAGCCTGCGAGCAATCTCTAGAGCCTCTGGGGTCAGACATTCAAGGCCCCTGCCCGTGAAATCACATGTACAGGAAGTGCGTTGTGTCTTTTTTTTATATGTGCAGGCCTTGCTTCGAGTCACTCAGTCACGCCCAAGATGCTTCTCGTATGTTGTAAAGGCCATGTTCTAAAGGTGTGCAAGCATTTGTCCCGTCCTGCGGAGCGCGAATGAATGCTTCAGACGAACGCATCTGAAACCGTGCAAAACAAATTCAGGGTATCTTGGCCAGATGATAAACATTTGCCAGCCGCACGAGTGCACAACCAGTGCGAGCCCCAGGCCACGATTTCTCCAGCACCAAACTGACGCTTCCAAGAATCCGATAATGAGACACCGCAAAGCTTTTCAAGCAGGCGCAGGCAGGCGAGCGGCAAAAATTCCTTCTTGCTGTTGTCCGGCAATGCGCAGACGGGCGGCCGGCCCCGGAAGCCCTGCAGCTCGGTGTCGAAGGCGTTCTCCTTGGATCGACATGGACGCGGACGGGTCAGCAGTCGTGGCTTATTCCCCTTGGCAATGGCAGAAACTTGGGGGTCAGCGCCGGAAGGGACCCTGTCCAGCCCCAAGACGAACGAACTACTTGCGAGCAGAAGCATGTGCGCCAAATTCCGCACCGAAGCCAAGCCTAAAGAGCCCAAGCGCGGCTCAGGGGCAGGCCAGCCGTTCCCGGCCTCGCCAGTGCCTCGTCTCAGGAAAATTCAACCGGTGCATCGGCCCGAAAGCTGCCAACCCAGGCCCCAGCCTCGGCAACCTCCGGAACTATGGAAGTCTCGTCCCTTTCCATTGCCAAGTGCCCCGAAGACCAAACAAACGGGAACGGAGTGTGACATAGACCCTAAATAGAGGTAGAAGATACCTTGCGTATTTAGGTGTATGGCCCCCGAAAACGACCCACCCCAAGTTCCCTAGGATGTCCTCCAAAGATCTCAACCGTAATAGCACCCACTCTTGGACTCCAAGTCCAACAGACGACACCCCCCAACCGCAAGACTCCAAATCCAACCCAAGACTATACGGACAACTACATAGCAAAGGCCAGATACATGACCACGATCTCTAAACTAAGACCTAGGCAGTGTTGAGAGGAGCACGCCCCTTGTCTAGAATTTTGTGCCGGCTCAAAGTAGGGTTCTGTTCGTGGCTATTGCAACACAGTACGATAGCCATAAAGAGTGCGGAATTGACTTTACTTCATGACTTCGTTTCGCTAAAGCTTAAGGAACCAACAATTTTTTTATAATTCCGCATTATGGAAGAAAAGTGTATACAAAAGTGATTCCAGTAAGAGCACACAAGATATCAGTTGATTTTGGAGCATATAGTGAACGAGATACTCGCATGATTAGGAAATGCTATCGTTGTAAACAAATCAAAGGTATTAGTTGCTTCAAACGATCATACTACGCTGGTAGACGTTCATATTGCTATGTTAACTTCACGTGGGCATGTTCTGAATGCTTGGACACTGGACGGGAGACACATGCAGAGAAATGACTCATACACATATGGAATAGTGACACACAGCTACAGTTGAAACATGTAGCCATATAAACCTAGCCTGCTGATATGAAAACCTAAAGTTACATATCAAATTCACTTGTATTTACAACCCTTAACCCCGAAGCAAATTCCGAGTCAGACGTATGGCACCTAGATTGATGTAAGCATCATTCCTAGGATGGTAACTTAGCTTGGGATCTTTGAGTGGATATCCTATTATTGGGGCTGAGATCTTAAGATTAAGTGTCCTAGGGTGGGGGCTGGGTGGTGCCATACACCAACACAGGCAAGGTCGCATCTAGCTAATTCAATAGTAGGAATTCGAATTGTAAGGACCACTACAGCAGTCCCCCTAGCTCCCGGCCTGGGCCCGCACTGGCACAGGGCAGCAGCTCAAGGAGCCGACCTCCATCCCAAGGTGCCAAGGCGGGTCTGATTGAAAAACGATCGCAAGCATGCCGCCTGGGGGGCCTGTCTAAAGGCGAATCCTGAGACCTGGAGAACTGCGGAAACTTGAGGTGAAGGGTGGTGGTGGTGGTAATGTTCGGCCCCGAAGCAGCCGACAAGCCGGGCACGAAGGCGACTTTGCCCTGTATGTGTAGCTGCAAATTCGATTCAGGGCAGCGCGGCCCCGGAATGCCCCGGAAGCAACGAAAACCATGTCTCGTCTAGGTGACGCTTTGCAAGCCGGCTGAGAGGTGCAGTTTGTAGCGACCTGCTGCTGGCACGAGCGCAAAGACGTCGTCAAGGGATTTCCTCATTGGAAAGTCCATAGAAACGCCGCAAGCTGCATTTGCACAACTTAGCCAACTTGGACCTTGCTGTCATTGTCCTCATCGCTTCAGCAGCCTACATGGATCAACTGAGCATGCCAACCTTCTCTGCTGGTTGAAGTGTCCGCCCGATATCAATAAGCATGGCTCATGCCGATGCAGATGTCTTTGTCAACAGCCGGCACAGCAAATTAAAGCATCGCACATCATTGATGGCCAAGGCTCAGGTGAAGTGAATCCAGAGACGTCAGCCGTGCTGCGCGCACATCCCCCACATAGTTTGACTCATGAGCGAAGCGTTCCTTCGCAGGGGTCATCGCACACCTACCATTAGAAGGCTGTCATTCCAGCGTGATGGGGACCTACCGACACCACCATGCGTGGCCGTTAAGCTAGGATCTGGTTCGACTCTTTCGTCAGGGAATGCTGCAGCCTGCTCTCTTCACCTGGCACCAATAGCCTCTAGTGCTGGGCCTCTAAGTGTACTACAACGATCGAACTGACAGCAGTATGATAACTCCATCATGTTAGCTTCTAGTCCACTGATCACTGTGGATGCGTGCAGTCTTATGAAATTGTTGTGACTATGACTATTGCTGTTGCCTGTCTCTAGCCTCGTTCAAACTACATTAACTACATCTGTATAGGTAGTATTATAATGAGGTTTATAGGTAATATGACAAAGAGATTTCGATATTTTGACGAGTCTGCCAGAAGTGTGACTCTCAAGCCGGGCCCATATCGGCCTCTCGGCGGCCCAGGATTCCGATGTCTGCCTCATCCGTGATTCTGGAACTGGGGTTTAAGGTTGTTGTTTGGGTGTAGGTTTATGTAGGGGCTTTGGATTATCTTGGATTCAGTGACTGAATCTAGTCAAGGTAGGTCAGACTAAGTCAGCGTAGGCGATAGTCTTTCATCGTTCGTCCTTCTCGTTTTTCTACCTTCGGGCCCCCGCGGCTACTACTGCTCGTCTTGGTGCACTGTCGATCCTAATTTACCGAATGTCATGTCACTGTAGCGGTGGCATGTGGTGGGAGCATCTTTTACCCGAGCTGCGGCAAAGTTCCGCACCGCGTCGCTGGTCTCGAAGGCTCCATTCCCTGAAGTTTGGGGACCAAGTTAGGGTTGTGAAGTCGCTAGAGAAAAACACATTGGCACTTTCTTTTATAGGGTATCGGCATCCAGTAACTGTGGTCGTCCATACGTGTTTTGTCCGAGAGCCCACGCAAAATTGCTAGAAGGGCGCCATTTCCCAGGATGAGCACCGAGAGCTGGTCGAAGGCGGCGGCACCAGGCCAGGGTGCTAACTCCTCTCAAGGCAAGGAAAATATCTGCTAAGGGGGGGAAAGCTTGGAAGAATCGCTCCACTTTAGGTTGGCGGGAAAAGTGTACGCATGGTTTGCTGTATCTGTGGAGACTAACTTGACCTGCTGGCCAGCCTCGAAATACTGCAACGCAGGCGATGGGTTCTGTTCCGGCAGTCATGCGAGCTTTGGCTGCCTCTGCCTTGATCGAAATCATTTGTGCGGTTTCCCATGCCGCTGACGGATGCTCCAGAGTCTGAGGACATGGCTCCGGGCTGGCAAGGGGCTGACTGCGGTCGGTCAACTTCCTTCCCACTCCCGCTCACCCGCCCTCACCCCCACGTGCATTTGCCTGTTATTCGTGGCACCACTCGGCTATGGGGTGGATTGTCGAGCCGTTTTGTCGGCTGTGAAGTGCGTGTAGAAGGCATTGGTAGGGACCCCCAAAAGCACCCAAGCAAAAACTATACAGAAGAGGACGCTGTGGGAACCTATGGTTTTGTAGTTTTCGGTATCGGTTGCATGGTTTTCGGAAGTCTCACGGCGTTCCCTTCGGTAGCATATTATAGTTAGCTTGCAATAGACATGGAATCCAAGATTTCCCGAAAAACTTTCTAGAGGTATCTTGGATCTTGGATTCCGGGGGGGGGGGGCTATTGAGGTTCAATCGCCGATATTTAACCTCAATAGCCCCCCCCCGGAATCCAAGATCCAAGATGCCCCTAGACAGTTTTTCGGGGAATCTTGGATTCCATGGTTAGGGTTTATTGAGGTTCAATAGCCGATATTTAACCTCAATAGCCCTCCCCCCCGGAATCCAAGATTGTTTGAAAAACTTTCTGGGGACATCTTGGATCTTGGATTCCGGGGGGGGGGCTATTGAGGTTCAATCGGCCTATTTAACCTCAATAGCCCCCCCCCCCGGAATCCAAGATCCAAGATGCCCCTAGAAAGTTTTTCGGGGAATCTTGGATTCCATGGTTAGGGTTTATTGAGGTTCAATAGCCGATATTTAACCTCAATAGCCCTCCCCCCCGGAATCCAAGATTGTCTGAAAAACTTTCTGGGGACATCTTGGATCTTGGATTCCGGGGGGGGGGCTATTGAGGTTCAATCGCCGATATTTAACCTCAATAGCCCCCCCCCCCCCGGAATCCAAGATCCAAGATGCCCCTAGAAAGTTTTTCGGGGAATCTTGGATTCCATGGTTAGGGTTTATTGAGGTTCAATAGCCGATATTTAACCTCAATAGCCCTCCCCCCCGGAATCCAAGATTGTCTGAAAAACTTTCTGGGGACATCTTGGATCTTGGATTCCGGGGGGGGGCTATTGAGGTTAAATATCGGCTATTGAACCTCAATAGACCCCAGCTGCATTCTGTAGGGTATTGCAGATGGTATTCTGTAAGGTACATCGGGGGTATATAGGGTGCATTGTACAAGGTATTCTACACGGTATTCCATGTAGGTGGTATTCTAGAACGTATTTTACAAGGTACTCTACAGGCGCCATAGGGTATTCAATAAGGTATGTCTGAGGTATATGGTGGGTCTTTTATGAGGTATTTTGCAGTGTATTCTATATGAAATTCTCCAGGGTCTGTAAAGAAAGGGTGTGTTCTATATCGTACTTTATGATTATGATGCTATTCCTCCAGGTTCCTGGTTTCCTTCATAGAAAACCCTTACTCAATTATAAGCTCCAATAATAAGCTCCAGTTCAACTAGGGGAATTCTCAGCTCTTGGACTCCTTTCGATTTTCACTATTTGACTGCTCTATCCTTACGGCGTTCTATAGGTATCCCATAGGGTACTCGAAAGGGTATCGGATAGGGTAATAATATCATATCATGGCAATATATATATATATATATATATATATATATATATATGTATGTATGGGGTATGCGTTTTGCATTCTATAAAGTGTTCTGTGCGCGTTCTATCGGGTACTCTATAGGGATTTTCTTAGGATTGTATTCTTTAGGTATTCTTTAGGCTATGATATGTGTATATATATATATATATATATACGGGTATGATAGGTATTCTTAGGCGATAGCGGGTAGCATATTCAATCAAGTGTGCGTATATATATATATATATATATGTGTATGAGGTATCTAGGGAGGATTCTACAGCATATTCTGCAGGATAGTCTTTATGAAATTCATTAAGGCATATAAGGGTGTGTTCTGTAAAGCATTCTATAGGGTATTCGCCTGAGTTCCTGACTTCCTACAGAAAACCTCTACTCAATAAGCTACAGTGTAGATGGTGAGGGCGAGATCTTATGCTCCTCCTGGTTGTCCTTATATAAATCCTCATAGGTTTTCGATACGGTATTCTACAGGGTTTATGAAAGATATACTGGGGGTATCTTGCATGTAATGTGGGGGTCGGTTTAGGAATATAGGCTCTTTTAATGCGTCGGCTCCGGGGCTAATTCCGAATCTGACAAAAAAAATTGGGTGTTCTAATTAATGCGTTTTTTTTTGGCTGGGGTGATTTTTTGGTGGCGGGGCTGTGCTATTTGCTGATGGTCAATCTTAAGGCAGCCACGACCTAAACCCCCACCCAAACCCCCACCCAACCCTAAAACCCTGGCCCTGAAGCCCGAAAATCTCTTGCAGAATTGTTTCGCTTATTGGGGCGTCAGGAATGAAAATCTGTACTACTACTGTACTACTACTGTACTATTCTACTATACCTTGATTATTGGGGGGGGCTGCTAGGGTGAACCGCCGAATCGGGGATTGGACCCTAGCTCAAAAGAGGCCTCTCCAGTACTAAAGTTTGTATAAAAAATTAAGTTTTGGGTCGAATCTGGACCGACCCCCCTTTGGAAGGGTTTAGGGCTTCGGGTTTAGGGTTTGTTATAGGGTTTAGGAGTGTAGGATTCTTTAGGGTTTAGGGTTAAGGGTTTCAGGCGCTGGCTTTATGCTTTGCTTATTGGGGGAATGTACTCACTGGCTTTATGCTTTGCTTATTGGTACTATTTCTGTACTATTACTGTATTACTACTGTACTACTGTACTACTGTGGTACTACTACTGTACTACTAGTGTACTACTGTACTACTATTGTACTACTACTGTACGATTACTGTACTACTACTGTACTACTGTACTGTTATCGTACTACTACTGTACTACTATTGTACTACCACTGTACTACTGTTGTATTACTATTGTACTACTGCACTATTATTGTACTACTACTGTACTACTACTGTACTATTATTGTACTACGGTACTATAATCGTACTACTGCTGTACTACCACTGTACTACTATTGTGCTACTATTGTACCTTGATTATTGGGGGGGGCTGCTAGGGTGAACCGCCGAATCGGGGATTGGACCCTAGCTCAAAAGAGGCCTCTCCAGTACTAAAGTTTGTATAAAAAATTAAGTTTTGGGTCGAATCTGGACCGACCCCCCTTTGGAAGGGTTTAGGGCTTAGGGTTCAGGGTTTGTTATAGGGTTTAGGAGTGTAGGATTCTTTAGGGTTTAGGGTTCGGGGTTTAAGGTTTCAGGCGCTGGCTTTATGCTTTGCTTATTGGGGGAATGTACTCACTGGCTTTATGCTTTGCTTATTGGTACTATTTCTGTACTATTACTGTATTACTACTGTACTACTGTGCTACTGTGGTACTACTACTGTACTACTAGTGTACTACTGTACTACTATTGTACTACTACTGTACGATTACTGTACTACTATTGTACTACTGTACTGTTATCGTACTACTACTGTACTACTATTGTACTACCACTGTACTACTGTTGTATTACTATTGTACTACTGCACTATTATTGTACTACTACTGTACTACTACTGTACTATTATTGTACTACGGTGCTATAATCGTACTACTGCTGTATTACTACTGTACTACTATTGTGCTACTATTGTACTACTGTATTATTATTGTACTAATACTGTACTACTATTGTACTACCACTGTACTACTGTTGTATTACTATTGTACTACTGCATTATTATTATACTACTACTGTACTACTACTGTACTACTATTCTACTATACCTTGATTATTGGGGGGGGCTGCTAGGGTGAACCGCCGAATCGGGGATTGGACCCTAGCTCAAAAGAGGCCTCTCCAGTACTAAAGTTTGTATAAAAAATTAAGTTTTGGGTCGAATCTGGACCGACCCCCCTTTGGAAGGGTTTAGGGCTTAGGGTTCAGGGTTTGTTATAGGGTTTAGGAGTGTAGGATTCTTTAGGGTTTAGGGTTCGGGGTTTAGGGTTTCAAGCGCTGGCCCAGACCCCCCGACCCCCGACCGCGCAGTCGCGCAGAACCGCAGACCCTGCACCCAAGCCAGCCCCCAAACCCCGGCACCTCCCAATTCCCTGCCACTCAGACCGACCCCTGACCCCTGTCCGGGGCTACCGGTTCCAAATTAAAGAGAATTTTTTTTTTGGTCGGGGGGGGGGGTACCCCACTATTAATCCGACCGCCACATTAGATGATATTCCATGAGGTACTCTGCAGGCTATTCCAGATGTCTTTGTAAGGTGTATATATATATATATATATAAGTATATGTATATACACATACATATCGGGTACATTGCGCGTACTATGCAGAGTATTCTATAAGGTATTCTATTAGGTATATTTTAAGGTATTGTATAGGGCATTGTAGAGGGCATTCTATAGGGTATGTAAAGGGTGTTCTGAATGGTATGTATGATTCAATTTAGGTGGTATTGTAGAGGGAATGCTATAAGGAGTTCTATAAGCTACAGGGTGTTCATTAGGATATATGCAAGGTATATAGAGTGCAATGATGCGTCGCAACTTGGAGGGCTTGAGGGTTTTCCGGTTTTGGTTTGATAATTCTATGTTTGCTTTTCCTTGGTACGTCGTTCCCGACCACTACAAACCTTGAAAACGATAGGTTCCCACAACGTCCTCCTCCCAAACTATAAGGTTGGGATGTCCCATAATCCCACCCGACAGTGTTTTGGGCTCCTGGTCTGACCCTGGGCACTTGAGGTCCCGCAGGCTTTCAGGCTTGGGCCTGAAAGCGAATGATCCGGTCATCGGCAAAGTCGAACGAAACCGGGTCCTCGTAGCCGATGGTATGCTCCATGCCACGTATCCAGTTCTCGGGCACATGTGCCTGGGCCGGGGTGCTTTGAAACGACTGCTGCCTTCACATGCTGGGCCTGGTAGCCTGGGGATCATGGGGCCAAGATCCCAGGGGGGAAAACTCAGCCATACGACTGCGCTTTTTTGCTTACGGTCTGGTTTTAAATCGATTCCTGCTCCGTAGGCCGAAGGCAATCAGGAGCAGTGGGCGACTTGAGACCACTACTGCAAGCGGGCATCAGTTATCATGTCTTTAGTCTGGTCAACAAATTTCCGCATCGCAGACGACGCGATGCCTGCCATAAGCCCACGGCCGCAATGACCACTGTACCTAGGCTCTCTCCCCTACTGGCATGTAGGGGCTTGCCACCGGAAGCAGTGGTTCAACGGCGTTCTCTGTCTTTGCGGCGTTAACTGTTGCCTTGGACCGTCGAACCGGCCTCTGATGCTTTTTGGGCTCACGAGCAAAAAGAGGCAGCCGTCATGTATTAAGGATAAATGATTTCAGCGATGAGGCATGAGAAACTAGTAAAAAGTCTGTGACTTATCCAGGCCTTCGGACAAGAAGCCCAAAACACACACCCACACACCCACACACCCACACACCCACACACCCACACACCCACACACCCACACACCCACACACCCCCACACCCACACACCCACACCCACACGCACACGCACACGCACACGCACACGCACACGCACACGCACACACACACGCACTCGCACGCGCATGCGCACTCGCACGCGCACGCGCCCGCGCGCCCGCGCGCCGCTCCGCTTCGCACGCGCAACGCGCACTACGCGCACGCGCACGCGCACGCGCACGCGCACGCGCGCGCGCGCACGCACACGCACACGCACAGGCACACGCACACGCACACACACACACACACATGCACACACCGCGTGACCGATTGCCTTGAACCAAAGAAATCATATCCCCCACACCCTGAAGTTCTGCCATGGGACACTTCCAGATCAGCAAGCCTGTGGGGGCTTGCACGGATACCTGCTTCAAGAGGACAGCAGGTAAATAGCAGTAATGATGATTGCTAAAGACTGTAGTCGTTTGGACGGCAATGAAAACTCTGCTTTGGCCACTTTCTGTAGGAAGTGGCCTGAACAAACAACTGGCAGTATTCCTTCATGTAGGGGCACTCTTTAGTGCTGCCAGAAACTACACAGCAACACTGTCTCAAGTCATGTAGCGTAGGCTCCAAGTTGCTTTCTAAGCGACCGCCAACCCTTCAAGCTGCGCGAGATTGGATGGGCTACAAAGCCTGCAAAGCTTCAAATTGACACAGACGCTTTCATCAAAATATATATGTATGTGTGCATATATATATATATATGTATATAGTATGCATAATCATTTTCACACACACACACACACGCACATATATATATACATGCAATTTACACATTTACAAGTCGAGAGACACAGGGATCTTAGTATTCTTGATTTGTTAGAGCTATGCTCATTTTTGGACTTCAGGATCGTGATACTTTTGTCTGTTTTTTTGGACTGCCTTGAGAGACATGCTCATTTTGGCTTTCCGGCTTGCTTTCTTTGGGACTGCTTGGAGAACTGGCCTTTGGAATAGCTGTGAATCTTTGCTTGCTTGTTTGGTCTTCGTGGGACTGCCTCAGTAACTATGCTCACTTGTTGTTGCCTGGGAGTCGTTTTTTCCGTTGCCATTGAAAAAGGGGTTGCCTCGAGGAATGTGCTCATTGGGTTGTGACAAAATTCTTATTCGGAGAGAATGCACATGTACCTAATACATAAATAGGTATGCCGGGCGCGGCCAAGTCACTTGCATACCATTCGACTGCAATTAGCGACAAACAATTGCAAACAGTATGCACCTTACAGTTCTGCTCCATGGCACAGCGAGAAAAGCTTCACATGACTTGTCAGCACCACCTTCGTTTAGCTGCCGGCGTTGTGCAAGCATCTTTCTTTATTCATATACCAGCTTGCTTTATTCTGCTCACGTTTCATCGCGTGTTACTGATCTGAAAACACGCAAGAAAGGATTTCAGCATTCGCTTAATAACTGCTTACAACATGATGTTGTACATATATATATATATATATACGTGTATATAGAATCATATCAGAAAGTTAACTGACTTGATTACTCACGAGGGGTTTAAGCTTCATAGCTTCATCAAGATCAGCTGAATTTAGACACCCGTGAGCAGCTGACGTTTCTTGTTCGAATTCTCGTTTGGTTGGTTCGATTATGCGTGCTCCTTTTTGACTCACTGAAAACCCCACATGAAGCTGACATGCGCTTAGCGTGCAATTTACATATTGGCAGTTAAGCCGCATACAAATACAAGTTCAATACTTGATGTTCAGTCTGGACACAAAACTATGTCTTATTCCCATTCTACAGAAAACAGAGGCTTTCACGTAGCCTTCAAACTATACTCGTTTAACCTATGGCTTTCGGAGAAAGACTGAGCTTAATCACCACTTCAATACTATAAACTTCAGATCTACCTGATAATATGCCAACTTTCAGCAATGTTCGATTGCAAGAAAATGCTGACTGACTGTTACCCTAGACGCTTAAATCAAGACTTGATACATTGGACAACATTTTCGTTGATCTCTTACAGGTGTTTCACAAGTATGTATATACATGGCGTTCGAAAGCCTATGCTTAAGGTCCTGTAGATGACATGTTTGATTAAACGCCTAATTGACGCTTGGTTGGCAGGTTCGCGTTGCTGTTTTATCCCGTCATGAACGAAGTATTCGGTCGCTACTATCCACACATGAATTAGAACTGCTGAATCGTTATCTATTTCATTCGTATTAGTGCAACGACTAGCGGTTTCGGTATACGTGTTAGATGTTCGTGAATACAAGTATGTCTTCGTTTGTTGACTGGGCACACTGAAATACGACACAATGCACTAATTATGAAGCATTCAGCGAATGCTGAGCCAATATTAACTGCATGGCAGCTAAACCGGAAGCAAGAAATATATACTGCTTGAATATTGGATAACAGGTATCGGTCATTCATACATATGCGCGTCGCGCGAGTACTCGATGAGCAATATTTGCATATCAGACCAAACCAGCTGCATGTTACCTCCCAAAGAAGCAATAACACATGCACCGTAAGCACTAAGACAAATAGCAGGTACTGTGCTGGTACCTGTTGGACACATGGGTCCTATGCCGCTCGGACTTATCAGGGCCGATAGCTATAGTTTGTAGCCGCACTTCGAACGCATATAACTTCATATTTCGAAACACTAACTAGCACTTCGATACACTTTGGTGAAAAAGAAAGGCAGAACACGAGAGTTCGCGGTCGTACACATGCATGACTGCTGTCGAGACGAAAGCTGTGGCAATACTTTGAGGCTCCATTCCTGTTCGGGGATGCCAAAGAGAAGGGCAGGCACAATATTTTGTTGTCGTACTGATGGATGCGTTCTGTCGAGAAGAACACCGACGGCAATCCTCGGCGGCTTCATTCCTGTTCCAGTGGGAAGAATCCAATACTTGGCTACTAAAAGCACGGATTCTCGGGGAGGGGGTTGGGGGTGCTGGCATATGTGTATACATACATATATATAAATATACATTCACATACGCATACACGCATACATACATATACATATACATATACATATACATATATATATATATATATACACACATGCATATACGCATACATGCACACATACATATACGTGCATATACATATATATATATATATATACATATATATATATATATGCATACATATATATATATAAATATAAATATAAATATATATATATATATATATATATATATATACATATGTATATCTGTATATGTATATTTGCTCATATATTTACATTTACAAGTAGGTATATAGGAACACATTCATATATCATAAGCATACATGCACATTTGTATGCATAGACATCTGTGTATATATATATATGTATACATTCATATACACGTATATATATATATATATATACGCACACACGCTTGTATGCATGTATGTATACATGTATGTGTAGATAGAACATGTATATACATGTACATATACACACATACACACACACACACATTTAGGTCATACATACACATGTGCGGTGTCTATCTCGCACGCGCACGCACGCACGCACGCACGCACGCACGCACGCATGTGTATATATATATATATATACACTATACACGCACACACACATACACACACACACACACAACACACACATGCACATGCAAACACACTGACAAATTTAGGGAGGGAGCTGCCCGGCTGGCCCGGTTGCGCCTCGAACCGGTTGGACTGGCCCGTTCTGGCGGCCTTCTTGTAGCAGAATGCCGTCAGTTGGAGACACAACTTATGGCTGGCTCCGAATCGAAAAACACCCTGGGGAACTTCGAGTTGTGGTTCAGGCCCTGCTACTTGCAGACCTTCGAAGCAGCCGCCAAGGCACTGAATCGGACCGCCGGATCCTTTGGACAGAGTGATTGTACCTCGGCAGCTGGATGTAGCGACCCTTGTGAAGACGGCAGCTGGTTGACAAACACGGACCCTCAGGACTGAGAACATTTTCTTCGAAAACCCTGCGTCTCTGCCCGGCAATTCATGGAGCACAAGGGGCAAAATCGCCTCGCCCTGCAGATCTGCTGCGGCCTAGCAAGGCAGCTTGGGAGATTTCAGGTTCAGGCGATGGGCCTCTGGGATGCCTGCGGGGTCTTGTAGTGATTCTCCAAACCAACCAATTCCAGTCTCTCAGCTGGAGCTTTAGCCGTGACTGTCAGGTCCGAAACTACCCGAACCATCCACCCCGTATCCTGGGGCCCCCTGCAGCAAACCCGAACCCGAGGCCCAAGTCACCTCGATACCGGAAGCCGATGTTTGAGAGCTTGCCTGGAGGTAATCTGCCAGGACATCGGCAGAAGGAAAATAGTCCTCCGTCCTCACGAAAGGTCATGTCTTACACTCTGTGGTGCCTGTCCATAGCCAAGCCAGCAAATGGCCCTGAACCTCCGAACGGGTCCAGTTGGTGAAGCGCGCGATGGGCACATCCAACAGGCTGTTCCAGTCGTGTCGAAGATTGAACCTGTGCCGCCGGGTGACTGCGGTGAAGAAACTCTCTTGAACAGCTCTCGGCTTCAGAAGCTCCCCCCGAACACCCAACTTGCCCTGAATCATCTCGAATCTGAGTCCTAGTTCTGGGCCAAATTCAACGATAGTAACCAGGAGCCGAGGTTTGCTGGAGCCCCATGCACGGCCAACCCTTCCTTTCTTCTTTCTTAAAAAGTTGGCATAAAAGTGCCACTGTGCCGTGTGGCTCTGCATTCTTGGAGCGCGTGTTGCGGCGGTTGATGGAGATCAGCTTCCGATGGATCGGGAACTTCCGAAACCATGTGGCTGCCTGCGGACGTCCCTCGTTTCTGTCTCTATGGCCGGCCCTACCCATGGCAATGCAACCACCTGCTACGCCCCCGGCACCAAGTCACAAACCCCTGCCCAAATCTGAGCCTGTCCTTGCTGACAGACTTCGGACCCTGGGCTGAACTCCAAACTCGGAGACCTCTCAGAAAAGGCGGGGCCTGCGCCTGACGCTCAAAGGTGACGTAATCTAAACTGGCATTCCTGAAAAAGTGCCTGAGATGATGTCGAAATCATGACTCTGAAGGACGAGCAGATCTGTGAGAAGGGCTTGGAGTAGGTGCTGAGGGGTGAAGGATCGTTATCGTTGGACCTGCCACGCTCCAAATGCCCTCTACTTAATGTGCAATCCGATTGCCTCCTTTTTCCAACAACGACACAGTCATCCACCCACTTGCAATGACTACACTTGCGTCGGAGGCTGCAGGCACTAACTTAGACCACATGCATGGCTCGAAATCCTGAAGCCCTGCAGCCCCGATGGCCAAGACGCCCCAACTGGATACCTGCAGGGCCAGCGCCTGGAGAAAATTGGCTCCGGGTCGATTTGATCGGGCTCACATGACGTCTCCGGGATTTATCGCTGGCTCGAGTGCCGTCTAGTGCGAAGGTCGGGTGTCGTGCTGCATGCGTCAGGAGAATGAAGTTGGAAGCAATTGGAAGAGCTGTGTGTCAAGGGCCCACAGTAGAGACCCGTAAGATGTCTTTACCCCGATACCATACAAGTAGGGGTGTTTTAACGCTTCTGTCAGCTTGGTTGCATGGGTCATGAGGTCTGAGCGCTGTCAAGCCTCTTTACGAGGTTGAAGGCTTGGAGTACTTGTATCACGAGTCCTGACCAAACCGGCTTTCTAAATCCGTAAAAGCTCCAAGTTCTACTAAACCCCCCTCATGACCGGCTCTTGTGTGTCACGCCCTCCGGCCTACAACGCAGTACTTGCTTATCCGCTCGGCGCACACAGCCAGGGCGGCTAGGCTTTGCAGCGCTAAACACCGTGCGAAAGCACCGGCCATGGGCAAGCTTTAGGGCTGCAGGTCTAACATTGGAACCTATATACTGGCAGGTTGGGGCATAGCACCGAAGCGGTACGCTCAGGGAGATTCTTACTACTCAAACTTCTTCTTTCTGGCTTATCTTGTGCTCCAAGGACAAAGTGGCGGGGCGCAAGATTCACGGGAGCTCTGGAAGTGGCCCTCTTCTTGTATGTGGGTTTGAGGCTCGACGTCCAAGTATTGTTCAAACGTAGGACATGTGAAGTAGAAAAGCGCACAAGCTCATGCACTTCGCAATAGCAAGTCTCACCCGCAACTTCAACTGCTAAGCTGGAACGCCAAGTGACCGAAGCAAAACGAATTATAAAGGAAAACCACAAGTATCGAACCACTGCTATTACAGGCCACTCGCAGCCATGCCTTCAGGACGGTCAGTGGATTTCGTCGTACTTGCTTGCGGCTTAGACGGTTGAGGCCCTCAAGCTTTTTCGTGGTTTTTATAATTAGGGAGCCTTCAACTCAATGTGGAGCCTATGAAAGCGGTGCGAACTTCAATCTCAGAATGCCGCAGGGTCACAGGCCTATGGATGTGAGGCCGCTTACGAGCGTTTGGCAGCATTCCGCAAAACTGCTGTATTATACCTGGCGTGCAAAACTGCCTAACAACGGCTCCCGGCGTCAGCCGCAGAAGCAATCTGCATTATCTGCAGGTCATGATAGATCCGGCAGCCTTAATACGGAACAAGATTGCGACGAAGCGAGAACACACAGTCGAATACAAATCAAAACGAGCTGTTAAATCAAAAACGAGGAGTTGTTAAATCAAAACGAGGAGTTGTTCATGAAACCAATGAGACTGTTTGCGTGACTTGGGCCCATCATGCTTTTCAACAACTACATGCATAGGCACAGGTTCGGCGATTTGCGCATGGAATTTCTGGAGCTTCCTTTGGGAGTTTCGGAGTCTTTGGGCTGTGTGCCTTGCTGGCTGCCAGTCTTCACGCTTCAAAACAAGACCTTCTATGCGCCTGCACAGCTGCAACAGGCACGTGAAGACCAGCTATATGCAGCTGGCGAAATAGCGAGATGTGAGACACGGTGAAACGAGCACCGCAATGCGGCTTCGGTGCATGACGGTTGTGGGCTACGACCCATCTGACCCATGAACCGCATACCCTCGTCATGAAAAGCAGCTGCTTGGGCACAGCAGTGCAAACTCGGAATCCGACGTGACATTTCGGCAGCCGCAAGCTTCCTCCCAGGACCAATCATGCTTGTTCCATAGAAGACTGGTTGTAAGGGCGCTGAGTTCTGTTGATCAGTTATCGGAGGGGTCTTCTGTCGCTTCAAGAAGCTGGATTGTCAACATGAACACATGGCAAGGTTCGTGCGTGCTGTGTAGATATGCGAGCACCCCATGCATGCATACGTTATAGCATACGCATATGTAATTACATGTGCACATACGATGTACAGATCTATAGGTGTATATGTGTACATATGCATGACGTATGTGTGTGTATAGGTGCATGTCGAGCTATGTCATTTTATGTCCGTACCTAAGCGCAAACGCACAAGAGCGAAGCAAGGGAATATGTCGTTGTGTATGTATACACATATGTGTGTGTGTGCACGCATGTGTGTATGTGCACGTACGCGTGTATACGTGTATAAGTGTATAAGTGAATATAGGGGGTATACACGTAAATATTTACAGATGCATATATACGTATATGTACGTAGGACCTTTAGGGTCTATTTGGGGATGGCCTTTCGGGTATCCTTGTCTGTACAGATTGAACTTCAAATTCAAAAATTTGGAGTTCCAAGGTCCGGAGAATTTTCAAAATTTTGGAAATTCTGAAAATATTGAAATTTTAAATTCAAAAGTTCAAAATTTCAAACTCAAAACTTTTTTCCCTTTTAAATCAATAGAAATTCAAAAATGTTGAAATGTTGAAAATTTTGAAATTTTGAATTCACAAATTCAAAATACTTGCATTTCTATTGATTTAACAGGGCAAAAACTTTTGAATTTTTGAATTCTTGAAATTCTGAATTTTGGAATTCAAAAATTTGGAGTTCCAAGGTCCGGAGAAATTTCAAAATTCTTGAAATATTGAAAATTTGGAAATATTGAATTCAAAAATTCAAACTTTCAAGAATTCAAAACTTTTTTCCCTTTTAAATCAATAGAAATTCAAAATTATTGAATTTCTATTGATTTAAAAGGGCAAAAACTTTTGAATTTTTGAATTCTTGAAATTTTGAATTTTGGAATTCAAAAATTTGGAGTTCCAAGGTCCGGAGAAATTTCAAAATTCTTGAAATTTTGAAAATTTTGAAATTTTGAATTCAAAATTTCAAGAATTCAAAACTTTTTTCTCTTTTAAATCAATAGAAATTCAATAATATTTAGGGTTTTGAATTCAAAAATTCCAAAATTCAAAATTTTTGAATTTCTATTGGTTTAAAAGGGCGAAAACTTTTGAATTTTTGAATTCTTGAAATTTTGAATTTTGGAATTCAAAAATTTGGAGTTCCAAGGTCCGGAGAAATTTCAAAATTTTTGAAATTTTGAAAGAATAGAAGTTTTGAATTCCAAAATTCAAAATTTCAAGAATTCAAAAATTCAAAACTTTTTGCCCTTTTAAATCAATAGAAATTCAAAAATTTTGAGTTTTTGAATTTTTGCATTCAACATTTCAAAATTTTCAAAATTTCAAAATTTTTGAACTTCTATTGATTTAAAAGGGAAAAAAGTTTTGAATTCTTGAAATTTTGAATTTTGGAACTCAAAATTTCAACATGTTCAAAATTTCAAAAATGTTGAAATTTCTCCGGACCTGGGAACTCCAGATTTTTGAATTCCAAAATTCAAAATTTCAAGAATTCAAAAATTCAAAAGTTTTTGCCCTTTTAAATCAATAGAAATTTGAATTGTTGAATTCAAAATTCCAAAATTTTCAAAATAATTGAGTTTCCATTGGTTTAAAAAGGAAAAAAATTTTGAATTTTTGAGGTTTTGGATTTTTGAATTCAAAATTTCCAAATTTTCAATATTTCAAGAATGTTGAAATTTCTCCGGACCTTGGAACTCCAAATTTTTGAATTCCAAAATTCAAAATTTCAAGAATTCAAAAATTCAAAAGTTTTTGCCCTTTTAAATCAATAGAAACTCAAAAATTTTGAATTTTTGAATTCGAAATTTCAAAATTTTCAACATTTCAAATTTTTTTGAATTTCTATTGATTTAAAAGGGAAAAAAGTTTTGAATTCTTGAACGTTTGAATTATTGAATTCAAAATTTCAAAAATGTTGAAATTTCTCCGGACCTTGGAACTCCAAATTTTTGAATTCCAAAATTCAAAATTTCAAGAATTCAAAAATTCAAAAGTTTTCGCCCTTAAAAATCAATAGAAACTCAAAAATATTGAATTTTTGAATTTTTGAATTCAACAATTCATTTTTTCAAAATGTCAATTTTTTGAATTTCTATTGATTTGAAAGGAAAAAGTTATATTTTTTTTAACTTTGAATTTTTGATTTCAAAATTTTCAAAATTTGTCACAATATGTTGAAATTTCTCCAGACCTTGAAATTCAAATTTTCCAATATTTCAAGAGTGTTGCAATTCTCCATTCGCCTTCCGCTTGCACTGGTTAACAAACAGACAGGTACAGAGAGAGAGAGAGAGAGAGAGAGAGACAGAGAGAGAGAGACAACCATGTGATGAGGAAGAAACAAAAAAGCAAGAACGAAGGTATTGAAAGGGACGGCCATCTCCCCTTCACCCGGTATTTCGCTGTTCAAAGAAGGGGGGAGTTTCCTCTTGGAAGGATAGTTCCACTTTGTATTATAAGAGCAAGCTTGTTGATGTCAAAGTTGGTCATGAAACGGTGCGGGTGCCATTGGCCGCCACTTTGACTACATCTTATCTGGCTTCCGCTTTCCAAGTGCCTTCCATTAGCACTGGTTAACAAGAAACATCGAGGTAACAGAGACAGAGACAGAGAGAGAGAGAGAGATGAAACGAAGAAGGAGCGACAAAAGTAAGAACGAAGGTACAATGAGGCACACGCACATCTCCCCTTCACTTTGCAATTGGTTTCCCAAAGAAGGGGAGAGTTTCGTCCTAGAAGGATAGTTCCACTTTGTATTGTCAGAGCAAGCTTGCTGATGCCAATGTTGGTGACGGACTTGCACGGGCGGGCTTGGCCACCACTCTGATTGCATCTTCCCCATCGCTCCTTTTATGTAGCCACTGTGTTCGATCTTTTTTTTATCTTCCGTGTGAGTTCAACGCAGCAAAGCAGCGGAGCCGACTTTTTTTGAAATCTCTTTCCTCTGCCCATTCGCCTTCCATTCGCACTAGTTTACAAGAAACAGACAGGCACAGAGAGACAGAGAGACAGAGAGACAGAGAGACAGAGAGAGAGAGAGAGAGAGAGAGAGAGAGAGACAGAGAGAGAGAGAGAGAGAGAGAGAGAGAGAGAGAGAGAGAGAGAGAGAGAGAGAGAGAGAGAGAGAGAGAGAGAGAGAGAGAGAGAGAGAGAGAGAGAGAGAGAGAGAGAGAGAGAGAGACGGAGAGAGAGAGAGAGCGAGAGAGCCACGGAGAGAGAGAGAGAGAGAGAGAGAAGAACGAAGGTACTGAAAGGGATACGGCCATCTCTCCCTCACCCGGTAGTTCGTTTCCCAAAGAAGGCCGGAGTTTCCTCTTGGAAGGATGGTTCCACTTTGTATTATAAGAGCAAGCTTGTTGATGACTACATTGACTATCCCCACGGCCCTTTACTTCGATTACCTGGCGGCCCTTGCCGTGTAGCAACGGAAGGACAGAGAGGCTTTGATTTATAGAGCACAAACAAATGAGGAAAAGGATCAAGATGACTTTCCCTTGTCGCTTCCCCTCTCCTGATCATCGTCAGGAGGCGTGTTATGTGTTCTCCTTCATGTCACACATTTCTGGTAACCGAAACACATAACGCAAACGAATGGAGGAGCACAGAGGAAAGCAGGAGAAACGGAGAGGGGAGGAGGGTTACCTTTTGGCTCTCCGCTTGTCACTTGTCTTCTCCCTTTTCTCATTACAGTCGGTACCCTCCGTGTGCCTCCTCCCATGTAAGTCGTGTCAAGCGAAGGGGAGCAGAGGAACCCACTCTGGTTTCCTCTTCCCCTTTCTTTTTTAGACTCCTTGTTACCAGTAATGGAGAAGAAAAACAAATAGTTCGACACAGAGACTCGAAGCACGAATGAAGGAGAAGCGAGAAGAGTGTGACCAAGGGTATGGAAAGGCCAAACACAGTTTGCCAACAGATGATGAGCAGATGATCCCACCCGGATTTTCCTTTCCCGAGTTCATTCCTTCGATTCCCTTCTCCCATCTGCCGTCAAACTTTTCATGGATGCGGGAGGAGAAGAGAAGAGGAGTGTAACATGGAGCACAGGTGCTGTACTCCGCTGCGAACCATTGCACAACACAAAGAGCAAAGAAGGAGAAGTAACATAGACTTTTTGGGTAATCGGGTTATCATTGTGCTCGGTCTTCTCTTGGTGTCTTCTTGTAAGTTAAGTGCAGGAAAGCAGTGGAGTCGACTCGTTTTCTTCTAACGCTTTCCATGTTCCGTCCATTTGTGCTGGCTGACAAGAAATACCAAGGTGCAGAGAGGGAGAGGCAGAGAGAGAGAGAGAGAGAGAGAGAGAGCGAGCGAGAGAGAGAGAAAGAGAGAGAGAGAGAGAGAGAGGGAGCGAGAGAGAGAGAGAGAGTGTGTGAGAGAGAGAGAGTAAAGGCATGACAAAACGAGATGAAGAAGAAACGAAAATAAACTAGAAGAGGGACAGCGAAGATACTGAAAGGGATAGGGGCATCGCCCTTCACCCCGTTCCGTGTCTCGAAGACAAGGAGACTTCTTTCTAGAAGGATAGTTCCACTTTGTGTTATAAGAGCAAGCTAAGTGCAGGGGAGTCGGGGAACTGACTGTTGTTCTTCTTCCCACTTTCCATTTGCCTTCCAGTTGCACTGGTTAACAAGAAACAGAAAGGTCACCGAGAGAGAGAGAGAGCGAGAGAGAGAGAGCGAGAGGAGATGAAGTGAAGACGAATAAGAAGAAGCGAGTAGAGTAATAACGAAGGTACCGGAAGGTGCACTGACATTTTCCTTCAACCATGTATTTCGTTTTTCAAGCAAGGAACGCATTTGCTCTTAGAGGGATAGTTCCACTTTGTATTATAAGAGCAAGCTTGCTGAGGTCAAAGTTGACATATTGCCCATTGCTCTTTTCCTCGATTACCCTTGCGAGCCTTGTCGTGTAAAGCAACCGAAAGGCAGAGAGAGAGAGAGAGGAGAGAGAGAGAGAGAAAGAGAAAGAGGGAGGGAGGGGGAGGAGAGAGAGAGAGAGAGGGAGAGAGACAAAGATGAAATGAAGAAGAAACAAAAAGAGCAAGAACGAAAGTACTGAAAGGGATACGGCCATCTCCCCCTCACCCGGTAGTTCGTTTCTCAAAGAAGGCTGGAGTTTCCTCTTGGAAGGATGGTTCCACTTTGTATTATAAGAGCAAGCTTGTTGATGTCAAAGTTGGTCATGAAACGGTGCGGGTGCCATTGGCCGCCTCTTTGACTACATTGACTACATCTTCCCCACGGCCCTTTACTTCGATTACCTGGCGGCCCTTGCCGTGTAGCAACGGAAGGACAGAGAGGCTTTGATTTATAGGGCACAAACAAATGAGGAAAAGGATCAAGATGACATTCCCTTGTCGCTTCCCCTCTCCTGATCCTCGTCAGGAGGCGTGTTATGTGTTCTCCATTGTGTCACACATTTCTGGTAACCGAAACACATAATGCAAACGAATGGAGGAGCACAGAGGAAAGCAGGAGAAACGGAGAGGGGAGGAGGGTTACCTTTTGGCTCTCCGCTTGTCACTTGTCTTCTCCCTTTTCTCATTACAGTCGGTACCCTCCGTGTGCCTCCTCCCAAGTCGTGTCAAGCGAAGGGGAGCAGAGGAACCCACTCTGGTTTCCTCTTCCCCTTTCTTTTTTAGACTCCTTGTTACCAGTAATGGAGAAGAAAAACAAATAGTTCGACACAGAGACTCGAAGCACGAATGAAGGAGAAGCGAGAAGAGTGAGACCAAGGGCATGGAAAGGCCAAACACAGTTTGCCAACAGATGATGAGCAGATGATCCCACCCGGATTTTCCTTTCCCGAGTTCATTCCTTCGATTCCCTTCTCCCATCTGCCGTCAAACTTTTCATGGATGCGGGAGGAGAAGAGAAGAGGAGTGTAACATGGAGCACAGGTGCTGTACTCCGCTGCGAACCATTGCACAACACAAAGAGCAAAGAAGGAGAAGTAACATAGACTTTTTGGGTAATCGGGTTATCATTGTGCTCGGTCTTCTCTTGGTGTCTTCTTGTAAGTTAAGTGCAGGAAAGCAGTGGAGTCGACTCGTTTTCTTCTAACGCTTTCCATGTTCCGTCCATTTGTGCTGGCTGACAAGAAATACCAAGGTGCAGAGAGGGAGAGGCAGAGAGAGAGAGTGTGTGTGAGAGAGAGAGAGAGTAAAGGCATGACAAAACGAGATGAAGAAGAAACGAAAATAAACTAGAAGAGGGAGAGCGAAGATACTGAAAGGGATAGGGGCATCGCCCTTCACCCCGTTCCGTTTCTCGAAGACAAGGTGTTTGAAAGTGCGCAACAGAAGATGTGAGCGTTCAGTGCTCGCACATACACAAACCACCGGACACTCCAACACATGTAGATGTAGCTAAAGTTTAGAATGACGTTGCATTGTGGAATGGATATATGACACTTGAGTTGAGTGTGCGGATTACGTGCATACGCGTCTCATGGTTTGTTAAGCAAGCACTATCCCCAAATAAACCCTAAAGGTCCTTGCCACATACGTATATAGAGATGCAAACATGTATCTGCGTATCTGTGTTTAGATGTAAAGTGTAAAGATGTTCAGATGTCTTTAATCAACTCATATATAAATGCGTGTGTGTGTATATATGTGTAGATTTATACATACATACAGACATACACACATACTTATGCACATGCACAAACACATGTACGTAGTCGTATACATGTTCATATACATGTACATCTACATATACAAATATGTGTATGTACAGAAACAACTATGCAATGTATGTATGTGCGTACGTAGGCATGCGATATGCGCGTATGCATGTATGCATGTATGCACGTATGCAGGTATGTATGTATGCATGCATGCATGCCTGTATACATATATGTATCTGCGCGTGCACGCATGGGCGTAGGTGTGGCTGCTCCCCCTGTCAGTACGATCATTCTGCCGGTGTGTGTGTGTGTGTGTCTGTGTGTGTGTGTGCGCGTCTGTGTGCGTTTGTCTCTCTGTAGTCATGCGTGTGTGCGGGCGGGACGGGGCGGATGTTCTTGTGTGTGCATGTTGCTGGTAGGCATTGGGCAGCGCCAGAAAACGCCATGCGGCAAGACCTTCCTTCCCGCTAGATTACATGCAAAGCAGACCGCGAGTTGCGAGTAATTCAATGTTTTGAGGATCCTAGACCGCCATCCACAGAGTCTTCGCTCCCCGAAATCGAAAACACAAACCCTCAACCTCAAATCCTACATCCTACGTGCCACTGTAAAACCAAGTTCTGGTGCTGCCAAGCTTCCGGGCAGAGATAGGTGAGCGGGCCGAAGAAATCCGCCGCTCCCCAGCACCAGACCTCCCCTGAAGGCAAATGTGAAGGGCAAACGACTCTGGTTCTTACTCACAACATCATGGTGAAACTGTGAAACCAGAGCGTGAGAGCTAAGGTTTGCAACCCTGTAGCAGAACTCCTTACCACCCTCAAGACCATCAACCTCAATTGCCGGCATCGACTCATTGATTCATCGCCCTCTCGAGTCTGAGCCAGGTGGGACATTTCGACATTTTAACATGGACAAGTTGGGCAAGGACGGAAATTCGGACACGCCGTGCCTGTGATGGGGTCCTTTGGCACGGCTTGCAGCATCGGGCAGCCACCCGCTTTCATCATGCTTACCGCATTCATGTCGCCCAACTCGAGTCGATCCTTAAAGTCTGGATTGGGGCTGCAGGTGGACCAGTACGAAACGAAATCTGCAGCGACGATGAACGTGTTTCCGCGAAGCCCAAAACTGTCGCAAGCCTCCAAAGCACTGCACGGCAGTAACACTCACCTCCATGAAGAATAGAATCCTGCCCGTAGTAGGCAGAAACGGCCACAGCGTAGTTGTCCCAGAATTGGTTCCAACTTTCTTGCGCACCGGCTTGAGGGAAGTCCTTGGCCAGGTGAGCTGCCGGGAAACGTGAGCCTTGACTCTCACCTACGGCGACAACCAGTATGCCTGGGTTTTCGCAAGGCGTGGTGAAAGGCGTGATTTGAGTATGCTTTGCCATGTAGACTGAGCAGCTTCTTCTTGGGCTTGCGTATACTTGACAGTCATACAGATCTTATGGTTCGTGTCTGTTAACGCTTTAATGTACTGCGCTTGTTGCTTGCTGACGCCATTGATGATGCATCTCGAGGAGCATGTGTCTCGTCAGTAGTAGGCAGAGAATGCCAACTAGGAGCCGCTAAACGGCATGCACAAACTAAATGCCTACAAAAACAAACACACGTGTCTCTATCTATCTACGTATGCAAGCATCTATCTATCTACCTATCTGTCTGTCCATGTATCTATCTTTCCAACTAGAAGTGTACTGTACTACTCTCTGCTACACTGTTTGTCGGCGGAGACTTCGGAGCTTCTTTGGGTGACTCACTGAGTCCAAGAATCCTGGCAAGGCAACGCCCTCATCCTCGTCTCCCTCTGCAGGAGACACATCCTCGCAGCCACTGATAGCCACTGTGCTTGAAGGAACAGGCGAGGGCTTGGGCCTCTGGGCATGCGATGGGATTGTGCAACCGTTGCATCGCACTTTTTATGCGAGTTCCGTCGTGGAGCTCCAATTTTTTGCTGTGGCTTAAAGGCCCCACCCGCCGCGTCTGCCCTCCCAGGATTCCTGGAAGCCATGGGTTCCAGTGCTCTGCCCTTTATTGGGATTGAATGTCCTACCGCTTGCTGCTGCTCCTGCTACTTCTCGTCGTTGTTCAAGATGTACTGACGTGGCAAACCCTACAGTACCGCCTTTCGTCTCACTCGGTTCGAGCAGACTTGGTTGCCCCTCTGACATGGGTGAAAAAAACGACATGATCCACACCCCTGAAATCAAGCGAACATACCCGAACATGGCAAGCAGCTCAGCGCAGCCCTCCGCTTTTTGCTTGTACCAGGGAGATGCGAGCCTGTGGCTGAGGGAGCAAGGCTACAGCGAGGCAAAGCAAGCAGCCGAGATACAGTAGGCGACTGAAGACCGGGCTGGGGCTGTTGCTAGCAGAACAGCGCGCAGATTAAACATGGGGATTGACTCTGAATGCCGGGCGGGTCAGTAAGCAAACCAAAAGAGCTTCCTTCGATCCGAATTTCAACAAGAGACGGATCTGTGCAGCCACATGTTTGGCCGCACATGAGCCGCACCATCCGTGCCTGCCCAAATGACGCAGATATCCCGGCACCAAGGAAACTTCATCTGGTCATGTCCGAAAGCATTCCTAACCCGCTGCAAAAACACCACACACTCCGTCTAGCACTTTGCATTCTAGGCCTCCGGAATATAGCATGTATCGCGCAGCCTGAGCTGAGGATTCAAACACAGTGCAGATGCCCCGCCGGGCTTCCGAAGGGTCATCAAGGACTCAAGGAGACCATCTAGGAATACAAACGCCAGAGAAAGGTATGAGCACGGCTGAGGAGTGCAAACACGGATTTCGGAGGTCTTCTGGCACTAACTCGTACTCAGACACTCCTATTCCTACTCCTGCTCCTGCTCCGACAACAACAACAACACCAGCAACAACAACAACTCCTGTTGCTACTGCTACTGCTGCTGCTACTGCTACTGCTACTGCTACTACTACTACAACTACTACTACTACTACTACTACTACTACTACTACTACTACTACTACTACTACTACTACTACTACTAATACTCCTGCTCCCGCTCCGACTCCTATTATACTCCTGCTCCGACAAAAGCAACACCAACAACAGCAACAACAACAACAACAACAACAACAACAACAACAACAACAACAACAACTGTGGCTGCTACTACTAGTGGCTCCGGCTCCCATTCCCGCTCCGACTCCTGCTCCTGCAGCAGGAGCAGGAGCCAGAGCAGGAGTCGGAGCGGGCAACAACAACACCAGCAACAACAACAACTGCTGCTACTTACTACTTACTACTTACTACTTACTACTTACTACCGGCTACCGCTACCGCTACTGCTACTGCTACTGCTACCACTCCTACTACTACAGGAATCCAACTTGTTGGAACGCGCCCCGCACTTTGCCATATGGGTTGCCCAAAGCAGTTATTAAACTTGCTACCTGGCTATTTCGCCGCTCCTGTCTCCCTGCCCGGCAGCTCGGCACAGGTGGGAGTGGCATTGGTCCCGAGGCCAAGGTTGAATGCCGCAGCTCTCATTCGGCTGTGCCTGGGCCCATACACCCGAAAGTCTAAACCCTAATCCGTGCCCTTATGTTGATTGCCTGGAAGCACCAGGGAAGCTTTAAGGCTCTAGGAACCCCGTTGCTGGGCGGCTGTCGAGTGCAACTTCGCTAACAGAAAGTCCGTGGAACCAACCATCCCAAGATCCGAAGCAGCTGAGAGCTACATGCTCAACAAGCCATAACAAAAAAGTTTTTGAGTGTACATCCACGGTGCGCGATGGCAACCAAGGCCGAGGCATTCTCCGCCGTCTCGTATGGATCTACATCTCGCTCCCAACACACGGGCCAGTACGCGGCCTCGTCAGGGGGCAGCGGATTGAAAACACATCCGCAGTCCACTCGCTCCGAGCTGCGGGGCAGCAAACCATCCCCGACATCTACTCAAATCTACTCATGGCAGGATTCCGACAGTCCTGCTTGCAAGCTGTGTCAAATACGACTGTCCGAAGCGAACCGGACCAAGCAGAGAAGAGCCAGGAACTCCATAGTCAAGGCCGCAGGGTGCGGGATTCTGAAGTTAAAACACCGGACACCCTTCTAAACGCCCTCAGGATTTGAAGCCCCCACCGCTGATTTCGAGGCGCCTCCTCCTGCATCTTTCGGATGCGGCCGAATTCAAACTCTTGGGTGTAGAGGCCCAACCTGGGGTTTCCAGGTTTCGCGGCAGTCTCATATGGGGTGCCTTGTTTAGATATCCTTAGAACTAAGATCCTACCATTAAGGTTGTACATTAGGGTCATGCCGACGGCTCCTTCTGGCTATCGTGTTCTCGTGCAGGGACAATTCCGACATTACCATCGTAAGTGAGACCTCCGTGCGTATGCTCATCATGATGAGCAGCGCTGTTCTGGAACTACGTTTTGGACAGGTGATGTGTGCCTGACATTTGTAAGCTTCTGAGATGCCTGCCTGGATCTTAGCGTATGCTAGTTGACTCCACGCGACGAGTCTATCAGGATGATTGTGTTGAAGCTGGTGAAATGGATACCATGATAGCTGAACCGACATTGGAGCAAGCGTTTTCTTTGTGATTGCGGCTCTGGAAATGATGTGCGTGATGCAGCCATTATGTCGAATATGATATTGTTGCTGATGTTGCTCGTCAGCCGTACAACTACTGTGGAGCGATGAACATGCTACACAACGAATGCCACTTGAGTAGTGTTTTGAGGTACATGAGGTTGCCGCTCATCCGTGCACTTTTGAGGAAGCATCAACAGAAACATAATTGCCTTTGCACGTTGATTCCTTTCTTGGCGGGGCTGTGTGCACGGATGTCGTCGCTTGATACACAGAGAAAATGACACAATGCAAACACTGCACACACCCCAAATTGAAGCGACCATGGGGCTGCATGAAATCGGGCGAAGGTGGGGCTTCATCTGACACCTCAGCTGGGAAGCCCCTTGAAAACAGTTGGCATCGCGAACGGCAGCAAGATGATGATGTTCAACAACATGAGAAACAGAAGAAGAAGATGATGATGATGGCGATGTTGCGTACTGGAAACCAGAAACAACAGCCGACTCTAGTACCATAGACTAAGCAGCAGCGACGTTTCTACAAATGTCGACGCACCTACTCCGACGACATCGACGACGGACATGTCCATTTGCAGCAATTCCCTGGTAGCGACAAGGCCTTTCATATTCAAACACTAGTAGCCATGGGGACGGAACATTGCCGGTGCTGTTGCTTTCGTTGGGCAACATGTACTAACTGTGCTCTCTGTATCTGCCGTGTTCAGACCGTTTCTTCTCATACCGATGCCATTCTGCCAGCGCCACTGTTGCTGCAACTACCAGCACGACGACTGCTAGTAGTTGTTGTTGTAGCAGTAGCAGTAGCAGTAGCAGTAGCAGTAGCAGTGGCAGTGGCAGTAGCAGTAGCAGTAGCAGTAGCAGTAGCAGTAGCAGTAGCAGTAGGAGTAGCAGTAGTAGTAGTAGTAGTAGTAGTAGTAGTAGTAGTAGTAGTAGCAGTAGTAGTAGTAGTAGCAGTAGTAGTAGTAGCAGTAGTAGTAGTAGTAGTAGCAGTAGCAGTAGCAGTAGCAGTAGCAGTGGCAGTGGCAGTGGCAGCAGCAGTAGCAGTAGCAGTAGCAGTAGCAGTAGCAGTAGTAGTAGTAGCAGTAGTAGTAGTAGTAGCAGCAGTAGCAGTAGCAGTAGCAGTAGCAGTAGCAGCAGCAGTAGCAGGAGCAGCAGCAGGAGCAGCAGCAGCAGCAGTAGTAGCAGCAGTAGCAGTAGCAGTAGCAGTAGCAGTAGCAGTAGCAGTAGCAGTAGCAGTAGCAGTAGCAGTCGCCGTGGCAGTGGCAGTGGCAGTGGCAGTGGCGGCGGCAGCGGCAGCGGCAGTGGCAGTAGCAGTAGCAGCGGCAACAGCAGCAGTAACAGTAGCGGTTGCCGAACTAGTAGTAGTAGTCCTCGTCGTAGTCTTGCAATAATAAGAGCGGTGGTCGTAGCAGTAGTCATAGTAGTCTAGTCAGCATCGACGACGGGCAATCACAAAGAAAAATTTAGCTTTACAAGGAATAATAGGTCAGCTTCGGGCCCATCTGCAACATTCGGTTGCTGTGGATGTCCAACTTGCAGGCTGCGGCATTTGATGTGTTGAAGGTCGATAGAACGTGCCGCATAATTCGTACGTTGGAAAAAAGTTCAAGTAGCATTTGCTTGCAATCGACATGCTGGCAATTTCCTACGGAGCGAGCCCTACATCCCAATTCCTAAGCCAATGTAGCCACATAGTCCCCCCATATACCACCTGTTTGAACCCGACACAAGTCCTATTATGAATCTGCAATGGATGCAAATGAGTTTAGCCTGGGCCTCCGAAATTAACATGGCCTCCGGCGATGCTGGATCAGAAGGTATTGAATATAGGGGAGTATGAAGCGATTAATTAGTTAGATTGGACGACCTCTTCAAGTGCTACTGCTACTACTTGCAAGTTGACAGGAGGGCTCCATGTGTTGCCACATACTGTAAGCTGTGAATACGCGATCCCTCACAAAGTGTCCGCAGTAAGATGTCAAGCAACAGTCTTACTCTGAAAAGGTGTCCATCAACCCTTGATTGAGAAAGCTTCCGAAGCGCCGGCTTCCAGGGCCCGTCCAGCTTGAACTTGTAGTTGTTCACAGCCTCCTGTGACCAGTACAAGGGTCACAGCCACAGGCTTCATTTCTGGGTCTTCGAGTTTACTGGGTGTTACTTCTAGCAATGCTCTCCTGTCATCAACAAGGTCTCGCGCTATGCCTTTTCGATGAGTTCTAAAAAGAGTCAAGAGTCAAGTGCATGGTGAATTCACAAATGTAGGGAGCGTTCCGAACGCTGATTCATGCGGCCGTGGGATACGCCGGGGTTCAAGGGACAGCTGCGAATCTCGAGAAACACGGACAAACATCGCAACACACAGTGGCCTCGCTGAATGAATTCCCCCATATATCTACTTATCAATCCGTGCATTTTCTGCCTGCTTGAAGAACCTCTAAGCAGTAGGTAACGGAACAATGCACGTTGCAGATAGATATGTCGATGGGACGGCGCTCGACTGCTTGTCAGGGTACCAGTATGAAACTCAGATACCTCTTTCTAGGCTTAGGCTTAGGCTTAGGCTCCCACCTCGGCCAAAGTAAGCGCGTTTACGAAGCGCTTCTCGTTGGTCATGAGCCCGTAGGCCATTCCGACCTTGAATGCACCCTCTTCCACTAGCTCCTTCTTGTTGGCTGCGTCACTGTGACGTCCTCTGCACGTTGTCAGCATGTTGCGGCGAAGCATTTCCACGCCCTTGTGAATCGTGTGACATGTTAACGCCGTGTGGCTTTGGTTGCAGCTTCCATGGTGCTATGCTCGCGTGCCCGACAGCTTCTCGATTCGATCTCGAACAGGAAATTCTAGAGAAGCATTGCTTGCGTTTCCATTTAATGCGAGATTCTTACCTTCGGGTGTCCATTGGCAATGCTCCCAGAACCGAAATGTCCGGGCCGGAGCGCCCAGCCCAACTCTATTTACTCATCCGGCGAATTATCTGTGGTCTACAGCGGCTACAGGCGGCTGCCGAGCACTGCGCGAAGTCTACGGTCAGAACGCAACTCTGTCATGTGCTTCTTCGGCTCTAGAGTGGCTTTGTGTGTGTCAGCGTGTCCAGATGGTTCAAGCCCTTCGATGCTAGAGTTTGCAGCCCTTTCGCGTGCAAGGTGCATCGGAATTGTAGGCGACGACCTCGGCTGCAGCAAAGCACTTGAAGGCGGCTTAACAGCTGCTTTTGCAGGTCTTCAGGGTGAGAATTGTAGGCACTGTTAGTCAGTCGATGGCCAAAGCCCCACACGACAATGTGCATTGGCCGAGCAGCGAAGTTCTGGATGCCGAAGCACATCTCCCTCTTCACTTCGAGCATTCCTGGGCCGAATGACAGGATGTGTGCTTCAAACCCAAAAAAAGACCGGCGAAATGCCAAGCCTTGGCCTTGCGACGAACGAGATGTCGTCGGATTCACTTCTTGTTGCCAGGCATCTCTGGGTCAGCGGCACGATGAGCACTAGGTAAGGCACCAAGAGCATTACGAGCAACATCGTGAAGTTGAAAGCCTCTGGCTTGGAGGCTTCAGGCTGGGAATCTGGGCTTGCTTTCCGCCTTTACGTTCAGCCGCTAGTGACCGCTAGTTCGGAGCTTCAGATCAAGCGCCGGGATCACGCGCTGCCGCCAAAGGGCTGACTCCACCTGGCTCTTCCCTTTCGTGTATTTCAGCTGTATCGGCTGCAGCCTCGGATCGGCAGCTCTCGAAGGCAAACTTGAACAGAGACGCTAAAACGACTTGAAGCCTTGTTGAAGCGCTAGCAGCACGGCTTGCCTGCTCTCACCCAACCGGATACTATACTGTAACTCGCTGATTCCCAGTGGCTTTTGGATTGCCAACTGGATCTTCGTGGGCACCATCGCCTCCAAGCAGCATCTGTTGCAATTCTCGGCCCTTGAGCCTTCAGGCTGCGAGGCACACAGCAGCCTCGAAGAGGAACTCGTCGATATCCAAGATGCCATTCAGAGCCACGGCATTCAGGATCAGGTCCACCTAGCTCAACAGGGAAGCGCCTGTACTAATCTTTACTCGAAGCTGAGACTTGACGATGATGACTCATTGTCGTGACACCACCCGCTGCCACCATCATCGCCATCATTGCATGGCTATCAGAATCAAAGCTGCAATGGAGGTGGTGCGCCCCAGCCACTGCCTCAGTGCTACGATGTGGGCCAAAGCTCTCCACGGATTCACTGTGTTTTCATGACAGGGAGGTGCAGGGCTGAAACAAACAAAGCGCCTTAGCTGTGGTATCAGCTTGTTGTATTATCAATGCTTGATGTACAGAAGCGAGCCGGAACCTTGCTGTGTATTCATGGTCCTACTAGCTTTCGTGTTTCCAAAAAAGCTCTGCTTCTGAAATTTCGATCCACCTCTGACGCGCCCTATCGCACCATAAGTGAAGCACAGCAACGTTCCACCGACCAGCAGGGCAATTGCCAGTGCAGCACGAAGCAGGTAGGCCGACACAATGACGGCAAACCTCGAACTTCACATTCACATCACTTTAGTGAAGACTTCAGCAATTTCGAACCCACCTCTAAGTCGGATGGTGACTTGCATGTGAGCTCAAAATCAAAAAGATGTGAGAAGCACTGCAAGCTCGCAGCTGGCGATAACAAACTCTCCCGAGAAAGGCTTTATGCAAAGAGCCGGGAAGGTGCTGCAGTAAAAGCTTCTCTGTGCATAGCCGCTCTGAATGCACTACATTCACTACATATGCTGCTTCACTTACGACGACCACAGGTCTTCCTCGAACTCCGAGAAACCGTGTGAAGGAGAGACTTCGGAAGGTTCCCTGGTGCAGCTCCGTGGATTGCGCACGCGGCAGCTGCATCACCGCCTGGTCAATATCCCACGAATAGCAAGATCGATGGGGCGCGATCGTCCACGCTCTTTCCGGGCTGTCATCCCGGAGCTGAGTTGCGGATACGGCAGCGAATTAGATGCATGCATCCGGAGATCACGCAAAGCACTCACTGCCTGCAGGTTCAGCCAAATGTTTCGAAGCTCGCGGTACACGCAAAGGTTCCTGGGACAGCGACGAAAGGCACGCTGTCACGGATTGTCCGGTGTCTCAGGCATCTTCAGTATTAACCATACTCTGTAGGCGAACTGGTCGAATGTTCGTGCCCCACGCCTCCGATATTGTTAAGTCCTCTTGGAGGTCAATGCGATATTGTGGACACAAGACTTGGAGCACTGCATGCTTTGGGGGAGCTGCACCAGAGACCGGTTCTTCTGACATGAGCCCACAATTCTGCCAAGGATCCACAAGATGATGCATAGCATGCAAAGTATGACGCCTGGCGGTTTGAGGCGAGCAAAGGCCAAGGCCAAGGCATTATTTCCGGGGCGAGGCGACCGAGCCTTCTGGGATTCTGCACAGTCTCTCCGCTGCACAGCTACCCTCTTATGAACGGCTTCGTTTACAAGCTTGCATGTAGTGCAAGCTGTTAAGAGCATGGCTGGCACTTCACTGCGCCGACAAGACTTGTGGAGTTGGCGTATGGCGGCGGCCCGGCGGCACGGCTATGACCCGCAGGGTGGCATTCGCGAGCTTTGGTGCTTTCGCGAGGTCGTTCCGATACTAACAGAGTCAAACATTGCGAATCTACCTGGGACCTCTTCGAGGCAGGAGCGCATTCTGAAACACTGGGCCTGGCTGATCGAAGGTGGCTTCGAAGGCAGCTTTTTGTATTCCCAGGAACCTTGCACATTGCAGAAGCGGCAGAGTTGGTCAAGATTTAGTGTCGAGAGCAAAAGAACTTCAAAGAAAAAGCTTGTCGAAAGCATTGGGAAAGGCGAGGGTGCAGCCACGAGGAACTTGTTGATGTCCGAGAGCAACTTGGCCTCGCAGAGCAGCGGGCACACGGTGGTGCACGCAACGGAAAGGAAGGCAGAGGGCAGAGGGCAGAGGGCAGGGGGCAGCGGGCAGGGGGGCGGGGTGAGAGGTTGGGAGAGGGAGATGTTCTACTGCACTCAGCTGATTTTTTACTCTGTTCTGGCCAGGCCTGCGTGGAGGCGACGAGGAGGGAGCTGTCTTCATCGCAGACGCGGGTCACAAGGCTCGTCTGCGACAGGTCCATGTACCTCTCATTTAAACATCGGCTGCTTTCCACCGCTGCGAGTGCTGAGAACATAACTTAGACTTTGCCTTCCGAGTCTGAAACGTCGAAGCAAGGGGGCAGCGGCACAGCAGCAGCCTTTTAAAGAGATGTATTGGCATCAACGAGCGTGGCCCAAGCAGGCAATCTCCAAAGCTCACCCTGCCCGAAGCTGCCTGAAGGAGTGTGCCAAGCTTGTTCGCCAGATTCTCGTGTTCTTCACGTTGGTCTGACAGGGAGCTTCAGCATGGACTTGCCCTGGATGGCTCTCTTCACGCACAAGATCCTCAACACTGCCTGCCCATGCAATCTGCAAGAACACCCTGAACCAGAACGACTCGGATTTCGCTTTCACTCCCCTGCCCAGACCCCCCAGCGTCCTCAAACGGATCCCCAAGGAAGCTTTTGTTGAACAAAATGTTGATGAACCTTTGCTGAGCTGAAGGCTTGGTGAAGGTTGTGTCTTTTGGCTCACGTCACGGGAATGCACGGTCTGGAGCTAGGCTTGAAGTCGGGGCCCTTGGACACTGAAGGCTCAGCAAGTGCAAAGATCAGGCGAGGCTGTCGGCCAGAGTAGATTGGAATCGACCTGTTCCCCAGTCAAGCGCATAGATGCCGAGCGGCAATGTCTGCATAATAACATTCCTCAGAGGATCGGCATCCAGACTCCCGGATAGCCTGTAAAGACATGAAATTAACATCAAACAGAAGTGTTCCGACGGCCATGGTAACAACAGCCTGAAGGCGCCAAGGGATCAGGATGACGAGAAGAAAGTGAGGGAGGGGAACAAGCGACGATAACGAGGAGACCATGACGATGGCTGCCTACATGCAACGGCTTCGAAAACCTCGACTTTGACATCCTGAAACCCCCCTTACAGGATGTCTGTCTCACACCATCCTTGCCTGCGAGGTTCGCAAGCAGGATCAGAACGGAAAAAAGCGCGTCCAGCCATCCAGCGTCCGTGAGCCCCACAACGGCAAAAAGGTTCCTTGGTCGTTGCAAACTCCCGGTACAGTCTTGAGAGTGGGACGGGGTTTTAGGTAAGAAGCTCTGTGCTCAGATGTCGCAGGCCCACGAGGTAATCATCGGTCACTACTCTGGTCCTGCATCCGCGGTTTCGGAATGCACATCTCACAAACAAACCGAGGCTTCATCAAAAGCACAGTCGGTTGACGTGCTCTGCCTGTCACTGTACGTCCAAACCAAGATTGTGTCTGGACTCCCGCCTCCTTCACACGCATCTCGGAATCGCTCAGAGCGAACCCCGCTAGTCAGGATCCGACTGTTCATCTTCTCTAGAGTCGCAATGTCTTGAGACACTGACATTCAATTTGCTGCAGTCTAGACTCCAAGCGCTCTCAGCTAGTTGAACTGGTTTCTCTTCGGCGACATCAGCTTCCTGGCAGATTCCATCCAGCAAGAGTCTGCTCTTGCGATATCTTTGCAGCTGCGAATGTTAAACTGACACCTACAAGTATGCATGCTTATCTGTGAGCGACTAGTGCCATGATTTACCATACTATGTCACTCTGAATTGTCGAATCTTGGCTCGTGAAACATGACAGAAGCTACCACAGCAGACTGCATGCTGCTCAAGCCTCTATCTGGCCAGCACATCAAAGGACCACAATCACGGAAACGGAAGGCAGTAGCATGGAAGACTAAGTTCATGAGCCCAGCACTTGAAACCCGAACCCTGAGCGCCAAGGCTAAATCCTGGCCTCTGCCTTTGGCAGTACCGGCGGGGCTGTCGGTTCTGGTTCCACCACAACGGAGCTGGGAGCATAGCCCTTCCTGGTTTTGAAGCAGCCAAAGTCTCTCAGGTACCTCCATCCCGACAGCCTTCATCCTTAGTCACTTAGTCCCTCCCACCTATCGCCCAAAATCGAAAGGTGGAGCAACTAACTGCGGAAGCCTTGAGACAGCAAGGTGCCCGATCCACGATCAAATTTGAAGTTGCGGGTGTGGCTGACTGGCCACATCTCGATTTCAAGCTTCCTGCCGATCCCTTGTTTGTGCTCTTCTGCAGCAGCTCGCCTCATTAATCGATTGGTTGCACGGCGGCCTTGCTTTCACCAGTTTAAGGGCAGCGGAAGTCCCGGTTCCTTAACCTCTTGGGCCGCCCCAAAACCCCAGGTCTAGATCCTCACCGATTTGGTAGTCTTCAAAAAGGCTTCAAACGGCGCAAACAGATTCTCTGAATGCTCAAGCACTTCTGCACAAGCAAGCAAAACTCAATCTCTGCAAGCCAGGCCTAAAAGCCTGAAGCCCAAATTCAAGCCTCACCGAAACCTGCTGGCCCCAACCCTCAACCAGCTCGAAAACCCGACACACCCGAGAACAATCCAGAGATCAGGTACCCCTAAGCCCTGAACCTCTAAAGGGCACCAAACATACCCGGGCGTCTCATCAAAGCGGACTTCCAACGCCGCCAAACGGGAGGAAAGGCGATGGATCTCTGCTCGGAGCTCCTTAACCAAGGAAGGCGGGTGCTCACAATGTTCCAGCCTTGTGTGTCCGATCGTTTTGGAGACCTTTGCCATCTCTTGCTGCAGCCGGGCGTGTTTGCGAGTACTGACTATTACCTGTGGCATTCGACTGTTCGCAGAAGCATATTTGCGCTGTCTTTTCTCTGTGTCTGGAAGTGCAACACCCACTGAAATTTCGGGACTCGATGCTTGCTCTTTCAGGAGTTCGGCGCTTCCGTATCTGCACTGGAGTGAACCTGTAGGCGTGACACTCTGAAGCGCTGCCTGCGGGCTTTTGAAATGTCTTGGGGTCTGTTGATTGCGGTTCGAGAGCTATCTCCGGGCTCTTGGTGTTCTGGACGAAGGGGTCTGCGCCCCCTGACCACTGTCCTTGTTGGTGCCCAAAACCTATGAGGTTGAAAATCTTTACTGGGTGTGGACGATGCAAGAGTAAACAACCCTGCGGTCCTGGAACTCTACGCGCTGTGATAATGCACGAACCTCTGTTCAATTTCAAGCTTTGTACTAATTAGGGGTTCCTCATTGCGGCACCGTCCAAATTGAAGAGCCCATTCTTGGAACCCGCGGTTTTGCAGTCCTCAACCTCAGTGGCCATGGCTGGAGAGTTTATCATAAACGTTTGAAAACGAGAACACAACAACAAGAACAATAATAGCTACGGTACGGATAAACATGCAGATGAGAATAACATGCATGAGCCATCTTGAACTAATCTTGGCTCGAGCCAATTAGCTAGCCTCCAAAATGGGCGAGTCAGGAGTAGGGGTGGGGGTGGGTGATTGCAGTGACAGCATCGAGATTGTGATCCTTCTTTGCGGAAAGTGCCGAGAACATGGTATCTGTCTGAAGGTCCATGCAACTCCCGCGCATGCCTAGACTTCACCTGAATGCCACATAATCCATGATCGGTAAGCGTAAGCGGCGGATCTGAGTGCCATACCCACAGATACACACTAGATGGGACATCTCCCTGAGAAACTCAAGCGCAATTCTCGTAGCTTTCACTAACGAAACGGTGACAGATGCCTTGGCACTGAAACTCGCAGATACTTTTCCGGCCAAGAACGTGCTGGTCCAGATATCTCATGAGAACGGCTGCAGTGGGGGCTTGAAGCTCGACTTCTCGTGGACCATATAGTGCAAGTGCTGCAGGCTGTGGACTCTTACACTTGGGACCGACCCTCTCCCAGCTGGTGTGAAACGCTTGTCAGCCTGCAATGTGATGGTTGCAGACTTGCAGCAGGGTTTTACCCTGTCAGTCTTGCATGCAAACATTATCATCTGAGGGGCGCAGAGTGCCCAAAAAACATACAAGTCACACAGAGTTTAGCTCGGTGCTTCTTCACCCAGAGGCCCAAGACGTGCTTATTTGACACACGTGGCTGTTCAGCCGGCTTTATCGACCATGCACCCGCATGCACCCGCACGCGCGCACACACACACAGACTCACAGACACGCAGACACGCAGACACGCAGACACGCAGACACACAGACTCACAGACACGCAGACACGCAGACACGCAGACACATAGACACGCACTCACGCACGCACCAACACACACACACACACACACACACACAAACACACACACACACACACACACACACACGTACTAAACACTCACTCACTCACTCACTCACTCACTCACACATACACATACACACACACACACACACCGACACCGAAAATACCACGACCACCGCGACCCAGACAACCAAGACGACCAGGACCACCAGGATGATAACAACCAGGAACACGAGGACCACCGCGACCAGGACCGCCACCTCCATGACGACCAGGATCACCGCGACGAACAAACCCACACTTCGAGCACGGTGAGGGCCCCATGCGTGCACAGGACTGTCGGAAAACACGATTTTGCACAGGGACACTCACGTCAGTGGGGGCTGGCGGCGGAAACACCAGCTGTGGCCCAAATGCGGACCTGGACATGGCCGAAGCACGCTTCGGGGCGGCGGACACTCACGCGATTGGCGGGAAGAGGATGCAGGAGCAAACCACGATCCCACGAGGAGATTCATTGTGTGGCTTTGCTACAAACACTTCCAACATCATGAGGGACACAGTGCCTTGTCTGACTTGTCTGGCGGATTCAGAGGACCACATGGACGAAACCCAAAAACCTAAATAGTGCGGCCCTGCCCTTGGTGATAAGATAAGAACTGCCAAGGCCGGAGGTGTCTGTTGCAGATAAGAAGTACACGAACGGTAAGGAAGAACAGGCCCCTAACTAAACTTGAGGGTGAGGGGCTGCGGAGAAGCATCGGTTGCAGACACGGGGCGCCCCCTTCACAAACTTCTGATCCAAGCAATCCTAGTACCCTACACCAAGTTGAGCCCATCGACTGAAGCACGGGGCTATCGAACTCGATCGAACAAAATCAGTCTTCAAATGTCCTCGGATAACGGAGTTCAACACTGGCTGAAGAGATGTCCCTTCAATTACGAAGAGCTCAGCTTAGTCGAAGCCCGGGTTTTCCAGGCGGCGTAAAAGAAAGCCAATTCCGCAGGCTTCCAAGATCACTTCACTTTCGGGAAGATCTTTTCCACCTGACCGAGTTGCGAGGGAAAGGGCTTGGAGCGCACAGCAAGTCACTCCTGTTCCTCCCTGTCTATATCAGATAGAGGTGGGAGTTCTGAACAGGCTCTTGCGCAGCCTATCGCAGACCGCACGTCCCCGACAGGGACGCAGAAACACCTACGCGTCCAAGCATAACGTCCTGTCGATTTCGTTGGGGCTTCAATTCAGCGCGGCCCGTCCCCCCAGGAGTAAAGCCTGGCTAAACAGCTGAAGGCATCTGCAGTGTGTATGCCGGCTACGCGGTTGGGTTCGCTGCGGCATGGCTTTTTCATCAGCAACGCGCCAACGCACCCCGCGTTGGGGTTGAATGCCACGAAAGGCGACCAAGGCTCCAGGGACTCAGAGTCCTTGCCTCTAGAATTACAAGATCCCCCAGGAGCCAAAGGCCTGAATCCTATTAATAGTGTTCCAAAAAGCATTCTGAATGTGTTCCAGAAAAGCGTGGGGAACAGTGTTCCAGATTCCAAAGTGTTCCGAAAAGCATTCCGAGAGAGCACCCTTGAATCTGAAAGCTTCCGGCTGGAAACACATCTTGGAACACTTGTTGGAACATTTTTTCAGCAGCAGGTCATTGGCGGAACGCTTTTTTGAGAACACTTTTTGGAATGCTTTTTGGAATGTTTTGCGGGGGCCGTCCTCTCCAGATCCAGGTCACAAGCATTCCAAAAAGCGTTCCAAAAAAGTGTTCCGGAAAGTGCTCTGCAAAGCGCTCCGTTGGAATGCTTCTTGGAACACTTTTTGGTCAGAGGGTCCCCGTGGAACGCATTTTGGAATACTTCTCAGCTCTGCATCAAAATCAGAATGCTTTCCGCACGTTTTTCAGGAATGCTTCTGGAATGCTTTTGGAACACTATAAAAACCGATCTAACCCACCCTTTCTTTAGCCCTCGGGATCTTGTAACTCTAGAAGATGCCTTACAATCCTGCCCACCACATGCCTCTGCGTGTGGTCTGTCAGCCAGGAGCAAGCCATGCTGTTGCAAAGTCGCCTCGGGTGTTTAACTCGTCAGCGACCTGAGAAAGGAAAAACATGGCAAGCAATGAGAATCAAGAACAGTCGTAAGCCTTGAGTACAAAACCTAATGGAAGGACTTCTGGCGCACTTGAAAGATGTGGCTTTGATGCACCTGAAGTAAGAGGATGATGCCATGTCTCCCAAAGGCCCTGAGCAGCTCATGCCTGTCATGCCCTTCTGGGCAGGCAACGCTGAACGCCGCAGGCGTGCTCAAAACTATTCTCGAGCACCTGCGCACCCCAAGAACGCTCTTGCTGCTTCGGCTTCGACCTGGCCACCGCCGACTTTCAATGTAGAGTGGACGACTCTGGGAAACAAGGACATCGAAGTCGCGAGGTCACTGAAGCCGAGCCATCTGGGCAGCAAGAACTGTTCCACACACCCCGGAGCAAAAGCGCCGGATCAGGAAAGAGATCTTATCGGTCAAGCCGGAGAATGTCATGATTCCTCTCGAGCCTTGTGGGAGAGCTGTCAGTAGTCCCTAAAGTTTACTTCACAACACTGCGGTGCGAGATTTTACGAGTGTGTCCACGTCGCTCAGTCAAGAGCCTCGGCCTCCACAGCCCACTGAAGTGGAATACCCTAGGCCCTAACTAACCGGACTCTGTGCTGCTAGTTTAAAACAAAGCCAATTAGGTCATTCTCTGCACCTCCTTCGCCTCATTCCCTGTTCCTTCTGCTTCAACTGGTTTAGAGAAATAGCCTCAGCGACAGAGGCTGTACGAATTCCACGCAACTGTCGGAGGCTTTGCCGGCAGGACCCAAAGTGCTGCAGATCGCGTTGCTGGCAGCTGTGACAGAGATTGCTTTGGCTGTAGATCCGCGGTTAGTCCCGGTGAAGCTTTCTGCGGTGTTTAGCAACACATACCACCACCGCAGCAGAAGAGCAGGTAGGGTCCCTTAGATAGATTGTGCTTTTGCAGCCTTCCTCAGCTGGCTTATCCCCACAGGCATGTCACCACCGCAGCGAGGAGCATGCCTCAAGTCCAAAGCGCAAGGGTATCAGGGTATCCGACGGCTGAACCTCCATACCTCGTTCTTTCGACTAGCATCGATGACGAGACACACAATGTAAAGTTAAAGGTCATATTGCCGCCTATAACGCATCGCGAGCCACTTGACGGCCGCGACAGTTCACAGTCAAGCAGCTTAGTCTAGTCTACTCTATCTGGCAGGAGCCCTGCATCAAAGCTCTGTGGAGCCCGTGCACAAGACAGCAGTTCGCAGTCTCGCAGTTCTCGTTTGATATAATATAATGCATCGACAATGTAAATGTAGATCCTGCGTTGTGTCGCAGACCTCAATGGATACCGAGACATAGACACACTCAACCCTTACTAGCACCCCCCACATCGTCGAAGCTTGATCTCCTGAACGGCTCCAGCTACCTGCGACCTTCCCTAACAACGGCAGCTGAGTTGCGAGATCAGCGCCGCACCCGCACCGCAGAGCAAGGAGCGGCAGAATGGCTACGAAAAGGAAGCAAAGCCTCGTGGGTTCAAGCCCTATTCTCCTCTAATCACCGGAATCGAACCAAAGCAAACATATGTTCCGGAGCGCTCCAAGACTAATCGCTACTCAAGCAGAAAACTCGAATAATCTCCTGATGGTGACAACGCTGATGTTGATGCCTCCTCGTTGTCCTATTGCTGCTGCTCCCAATGCCACTCTTGGCACTCCTTCTATCGCTACGGCTGCGGTTGTTATTCCTCCTCCTCCTCCTCCTCCTCGTCTTCATGCTGCGCCGTAGCTGCTGCTCCTCCTCCCATCACTACCACTACTCCTGCTACGTACGACGACGACTACTAATTACTACGAAGACGATCGTTACGACCACGACCACAACTGCGACCTCGACCCCGACCCCCACCAGCGCCGCCGCCAACGCCACCTTCCGCGACTGCCACCGCCACAGCAAAAGAGCATCACCATCACCACCACTGCCGCCGCCACCAACAAGAACAACAAAACCAAGA